TCTTCTCGTCCCAAATTCCCCAAATCACTCTCCCTCAATCTCTCCAAATCCCGGATCAATCCCTAGTTGATCGCTAATCCCCAATTGTTCGATAGAGCTTAAATCGGAGCTCTATCAGTCTCTCAGGAATCATCTAGATCAACTCAATACTATCTTGCTAGATCTGCGGAATATTGATGTTAAAGCAGATGATGAGGATGCTGCCTTAATTCTGTTGGTATCTTTGCCACAATCATATGAGAATTTTGTGGATTCTTTTATTGTTGCTATCTTCGCTGCTGATGGTCGACAAATTTCCCAGGTAAAGCTTCATTGCATTGGGGTTGATTAGTTGGTGGGAATTTGATGGAGAAGATGGGAATATGGCGGATCCGTGAGTGCAATGTGTTTTGATGTACTGATTAATTAACAAATTTGCGACTGTATTTGAAATATTGGATTGTAAACAAAACGTTGGAACTTCGATTTGTTATCTCATTTCAAGGATTGTCATATAGACGAGAAATAACAATTGCTCTCGAATTTAATAATTGAAGAGATTTGGTGGCATATGTAGCTATTAAGATCACTTATAGAAAAAAGAGAAATCTCCAACTGACACTATTTTTTGTTACCAGCGTGTGCTTTAATAATAACGAATTTGATGCTTTTTTACATAATGTAATAGTGTGATTGTGGTAAGGCTTGAATGAAATGACGGTTGAACGGATTGAGTTGAGTTCAGTTGCTCTCTAAATTGGCCACTCAAGCAGTGAGCGACATTCATTTCTTGCATGAACTTTCATATCCTTGTTTGTCCCTCTTGTTCATGGTATCCCACATATATATATATATATATACGAAATCAATATGCTACTTAATCAAATCAAATCAAAATTCGAATTCAATTCATTTGGTAAAACGTAAATTGGAGACACATAAATCGAACTATAATATGGCGTTGCGGAGCATAGACCAATTCTATAATAATATAAAAATGTCAAGAAAGTGATGACAACAACTTCATATATAACAAGAAAGCAATAAAAGATATCCTTAGAAAGTGAGGCATTGTTTTTTATTCGATCACAAAGTGAGACATTCTTCCTTTCAAGCTACTTAGAACTGATTATTATTTTATCACATATTCGCAGGTTAAGGAAGTCAATCCACCAAATTGACTGCAGCAACTGCAAAAGCTCCTCACACCACACTCAAAACACCAATGACAAAGGGAAGTCATCCATCCTCACCACTCAAGGCTGCAAGACAGAAGCAGCCAAGCTTGAGTGGAAATGCCGACTCCAAACAACCAGTACTGCTGCTACCACGTGGGCCCAAATTCCAGCAAGGGCAAAAACAACTGCGGGATGAGGAAGGAAAAAAATATACTTAATTAGGTCCTCTGCTGCGATCCCCACGAGCCAATCCAAAAAATATGGCGAGCAGAGTATATATATAGATAGGTATCGTAATTGCAAAACAGAATCACATAAAAGGGAGCGGGCCGGGCGACATATATAATATAATATCTGCATTTGAACTAACCGTGAGGCGATCGAAGACTGGACACATCAAGTCACCAAGACGAGGGAAATAAATTAAGACGACCAATTACCTTTTCAAACCTGCAGGGGTGCTAAAAAAGGAAACCCGGCCTAGATCGTTGCCCATTCAAGCCAGGCGTTGCAGGGCTGCATTGAACCGATCTCCACGGCTCCATCACTTGCCACCACCATCTCCGACACATCATCAGTAGCCACCACGCCGGGAGCACTGCTCGGTTCCGGCGTGGCTTTGGGTTTAAGGTGAACCGTGTTGCTGACCACGTTCAAAGGTTCGGTTTGGAATAGGTAGTCGTAGGGTAAGGGGTCGGCGGATGAGTGGGTAAGAATGAAAGACGGGCGGTTAATGACTTGATTTAGGAGCAGCAGTCGCTGTTTGCGTCGTCTTTTTTTGGTAGAAGGCGATGTCATCTTTTGATCACAAGAAAATGATTCTTTTTGGCAAGAAGGCGATGGCTCTCGTATCCAAAGGAAATTAAATTTATATGGGTAGAGAAGAAAAGCGGTGATTGAGAGAGAGAGAGAGAGAGAGAGAGAGAATCGTGATGGGATTAGAATTTCTTGGAGCCGCCTGATAATTAATTAGTGATACTGCATAGATGCGTTCGTGAGATTGTAATAGTGAGGGGTGGAGAGAGAGATATCAAGTCTTTTAAGTTTTAAGAAAATAATCGTCCATCTTCTTGGCTTGGCTTGCCTCCAGAATATCTCCAGCCTCTTTGCATCGGTCTTCTGAAATCAGATCAGAGCGTCGGAGATTCCTCCTCGTAGGCCGTAGCTCAGGCGCCGACGCACCGACAACAACAATAGTAGCGGAAGCAGCCAGCACTGCAGGGTCACTTCAATCTCCCGATTTGGGGCGAATGACGTGGCATGAATATCGTTTCTGGAAATGGGGCACAAAGAAAAGTGGACATTGGTTGGACACGTCACTGGCCTTTATTGATGGTGATGGGGATTAAAAAACAAAGTCTCGCCACCAAACCAAATGCTTAATGCGAATGAATGATGCGATAGTTGGGACTTGGGAGCTTCACTTCACTTAAGTAACGCATCTTCACACTAAAATTTTATTGTTCAACTAGCTAGTGAGTGTTATGAGGGGTTTGATTGTGTTGTGTGTGGTGGTTTTTGGATGGAAATTGAGACGTGTGGTTTGGATTTTGTGTGGGCATAAAAGTACTTCAGATTTAATGACGTCGGGAGATTCAAGGAAGGAAGGAGAATGGTCATTTTTATTTTCTTTGTTCGTTCTATAAGAGAGGAAGGAAGAACGAGAGGCAAGAGAACTGTGTCTTTATGTAATTTTTTTTATTATATTTCTCGTTTATTGTCTATAACTAAACTACTTACCTACTTACAAGTATATATGAGTATAACACTGTCTGCAAGAAAACATTGTGTCTTATTTTAGGGTATGACTTCGCTGGTTTTTGTGAACTGGATTGAAGAAATGCATAAACAGAGAAGGATGCAGAGGAGATCTGAAATCCAGATGCAGGAAGGATTATATTTTGTTGTAGAAGAAGAAGAGGAATACGATGTCGGATTACCTAAAGCTATGTGTTAACCTTTTTTTTTTTTTTTTTTAAATCATAACTAGGGCGTCAATTTGGTTTCAGTCAACTAAATCGCAAGTTAAGCATGAAAACACAGAAAAATTAATCAGCCAATATAAAAATAATAAAACATTGTTTATTGGTTTTTCATGAACCAAAACCGAAAAGTCAGAATGTACACAATAGCATGGAGAAAACAGAAGAGTCTGGGGTGGGGCAAAGCTTCCAACAAGTGGAATTGATCGACCCATATATATACAACAATTAATGCATATATTAGTTGATTTGAGTGAGCGGCGATTGCATGTCGATCTACGGGTTCTTTGGTTTTTGGCCCATGCACATCAATTCCCATCCCGATCTCAGGTTCAATAAATACTACACTACACCTCACAATGTTTTTGTCCCGTGTATCAATTCCCAATGCATGTTATTATTATGTTACTTGGGGAAATATTAAAAAATATATAATATTTTTATTTGTCTAATATAATTAACCTACTTCTTCTATGAAAAAAAACCCATAAATACTATTGTATTTCGCTTCCTATTGACAAAGACCTAGGACATCTAATATGGTTCCGTTTGTTTGTTTGATTAGTTCCTGCACAACATCTAATTGAATCGCATCCAGTTACTGATATTTAATCGAATTAATATAATTTTATTCATTGTCCATCCTATAAGTTATCTTAAATATGAAGAAATATTAATTAAAATTGAATTTCGGATCACCAAAAGCGAACTAATAAACATACTTCCCTTGCATTGCAAAACAAAAAATAAACCAGACAAATACTAAAAAACCAAAACTGTGAAGGAGCTTATTGGTTTTGGTTAAACGGAAATCAAAAGGTAAACAAACACAAAGACAATAGTGAAAACAGATGAGTGGTGGTGGGGCAAAGTTTCCAACAACAAATGGAGTTCATCGACCCATATATATAAAAATGCATATTGGTTCTGATTTTGGGTACTCCTTGAATTAAAGAAACTGATTATGAACCGGAGCAGCAGCAACTGCTTGGAGATGAAGCACAGGAAAGGTGGGTTCGGGAATTCCGCACAACATTGGAAGGTTTTGCACAACATCGTTGGGATTGAAGATCGAAATCACCAAGATGATGTTTTTTTAGGTCGAGATTGTTATGTAGCTTTTACAAAAACAACTTCGAACTGGAGGGTCAACGGATCAAACAATAAAATGATATAAATAAAAATGCTTCTAAACTTCAGATCAAACATAAGCTATCATTCAGTTACTCATCTCCACACAATGTCAAAGTTGAATTTAGTTTTATAAGGAAAAAAGGACAGAATGAAGGTAATTATAATTTGGATGCATTGATCCTACTTCATAACAGAATGATAATCATAATTACATAGAGAAAAAAACATTCGTAAATGAGAAAGCATATAAACAGAACATGATGACATTTAAGTGAAACCAATCCAACTGATGAAGTCCCGTCTTTAAATTAAAAAACGAACTGCACAAACCATTCAAATGAAAATACTAGCTAGATCATACGATTATACGTACAAGCTAGCCTCTTTCCAACAAGTAGATAGGCTAAAACTTTTAGAACACCAATCATACTTTAGTTCAGTACATATATGTATTATGTGCTAGAAATAAAAGTTTCCAATTCTTAGCCAATTCTTCCATCAACTGACGGTTTCTCAATTTTTTCTTGGAGTTCCTTGACCGACTCACTCAAAGCTAGCACCAAATCTAGCAGCATTTCCATTTTTTCATCTTCTTCCACGACCTGACTGGGGATACTCCCAATAACTCCTCGGGGAACAGGCACATAACTCTAAATAAAAAGAAAATTCAATAAAAGGTGAAATTAAAACCTTGGATTACTACGGTAAAATTACACCCGCAACACGTTCATGAAAGTTTCATCAAACAAACAGAGTCACTTACTTCAAGTTTATTAATCAGCTCTTTCACAGTGGATGCCGTAACCAATATATTACGGTCAAAGGGTTTGATGAACTCATCTTGTACAGCTTTGTCGATCATTGACAGAAGATGATTGTAGTAACCATTAACATTAAGCAAACCCACCTGCATAATTTTTTTTTTTTTTGTGATGGAAAACATAGAAAAAAATTACATCGCAAAGAGAAGGAATAAAGAGAGAATTTACCGGCTTGACATGGACTCCAAGTTGTGCCCAACTTATAACTTCAAATAACTCTTCCAGCGTTCCATAACCACCTGATCATTATCGAAATGCATGAGACACACATACAAGGAGAAGATTGACCACCACCAAGTATAGTGCAATTTAAGAAAGATAAAGTTATTAAGAGGTAAATAAATAAAATACCTGGAAGAGCTATAAAACAATCAGACTCACGCATCATTTTTGTCTTTCTTTGATGCATGTCGATTACAGGCTTCACATGGCCAGTCGTAGTACCGATAATCTGTGTCAACCCATAAATATATTTGTAAAAAGATGTTCAATTAGTCAAATGTCAAACCAAATACAAACGTTTTTTTTCCCGGTTGAATAACTTCTTTTATTTTGGAAGCATAGTACTCACATTGCTGCTCAATAAGGTAGAGGGAATGATCCTATATACACAAAATCACACCACATTGAGAAAGAATCACCCCCAATTAGTAATCACAAAAAAAAGAAATTATCGTATTCCTCCAAAAAATAAATAACAGAAAAAGAACTCAAATAATTGTTCAACCCGAGAACGTTACATCCTCCTTGGTGCACAATTTGCGAGACAACGCCCATTAACCCAATGCTCCCACCGCCATACACTAGATTGAATCTCCTCGTCACCTTTATCAATTGACGATACACAACAACCCAAAAATCAACTAGCTAAGTTAGAGGAAAACAAAAAAAAAGGAACCGAAAGCAACCATAATCCAATAGACGGGGTCTAGGAAGTTCTTTCCAAAATACAATAGTCCTACCCCATAAACAGCTTGTATTAGTATAATTTTTTTTAAAATAACACTGAAAGTGTAAAACTCTATACTAAAAATGATAATAGCTCTACTACATAAACAACTAAAATTAGTATACAAAGTATTAAAAAAGGTAGTAAAACTATATGTGACCAAACTAACTAAAGTAAACAACTAAAAGGATGAAAAAATAGACATAAACTAACGACCTAACAAATCGAATTAAAACTACATGACATCTTATCTTCGAGAAATGTGATGAGTTCAGGTTAGTTCTACCCACAGTACTAAGAAGGTAAAAAAGAAAAGATATATACTTAAAATTCCACATTAATTTCTGAAACTACAATTCTTTCTGCGTAAATATGGTACTACATATGTTCCTATGTTCTTTAAATTCAATAAAAGTTATATCGCCATTATAAAAAAAAATGGTACTACATATTTTCCAATATTATCTAAAGTTCCCATAGAACTTTGAGTGGGGAAAAAAAACTATTCAAATAGCCATACATGTTCCAACAGAGACCTTGTTTTCAATCAATTTCTAGACATGTCAAATCTACTTTAATTATGAAAATTTGTATTGAAAGTGCAACTAACCCTACTCAAATAGTCATGTAATCCCATGGAAAACCCCTCCAAAATATTGAAAATGACTAAATATCTACAAAATGTAAACAAATAAAAACCGGCTAACATATAAACGCTCCGGTTATTCTAACAAGGCTGCAACCCACTTTTTCGGCAAGACATAATAATTAGATTTATATTTAAAGCTTTCAATATCAACATCTAGCATCGGCTTGATAATATTGATAAAAAATTGGACCGAATGTTTCCCTTAGGGACCGAATCCTTTGCCCGCTGGCTATTCGAAACTTTGGCTATCAATTGACACATGTTCAAATTAGCCACGCAAGTTAAAAGAACCAAAGGGCATAGGCTAGGGCATGCTGTCTTGTGCTATTAAACAATTTGTCATAGGAACTCAGATTCATAGCTATAGTAGTAAGTGTGGTTAGAAGAGGAGTTAAAATTTTTAGGATTAATTACCATTTCTTGTGCGAGTTCGACGGCAGCATTCTTGTAACAGTCTCCCTTTCCTACACTACTGCCACAAAACACAGCAATGGTCTTGAATTTAGCCACGTTACTGGCATTCGATGTCTCTGCTTCCATCAAGTGAGATATCGTAGAGGAGACCTTCTGTTTTTATTTTTTATCTTTGTACCTGCTTTGCTTTATCCCTCCCTACCTTTTATACGAGAAATGAGAACCCAGGCAATAGACATGCATTTAATAGTTGTGGGTATCATTTTTTATTTTTTATTTTTGGTAGAGGGTCAGGGACACTCAAGGGTATCGTCTTTTAGATTTTGCCATGCAATTAATTAGGGAGACATATGGCTGTAGCTGGCGCCGCCTTCCTTTTCCGTGCTGCTCAAATCTCAATCGCGTCAATTTAATTGCGGATTGGGAGCCCAATAGCGGATAAGATCTGCCGTGTTTAATTAATTAGATTAGGAGGTAGTTGGTTGGGAGTTGGGACCGAGAGAAAGAAAGGATGGGGTTTGGGGGATTTATGCTGGACTGGAGTGTGATAATAGAATAGGGCAGACGGATATCGAAGCTTTCATTGAGTCTTTGTTCCTCTTGCTTTTTTTTTTTTATAAGTCTCTGTTCATCTTGCTTTGTGCCCAGCAATATCTTTCTTTTCTTTTGAAACTTCCATATCTTCTTCACAATCAAAATCACATAATGCTGTGAGTGAGACACCCATTGACTTAACTTCTCTCTGTCTATTGTGGGTACTCCTTAATCAAGTGGCTTCTCCTTAGCTAACCAGTTCGTGGAGCGAGAGCGCGAGCATGAGAGCGTCTATTTTTCAAGAATCCAATATTGAAAGCGTTAAGAGAGCGTTAATATTATATTATTTATTAATATATATGTATATATATTAATTTTGAGATTTTAGTAAATATTTTTTTAATCATTATCGACTACTACAAAATTAGCTTATGTGATTTGTTGACACCTTGGGACTACAAATTCAATCTCAGAATTAATTTGCAAGAACAGTTATGCGGATATGCATTTTATATTGGCCGGAGAATAAGCATAGAACAATTAAATTTTCAGTTTTCTCAAAGCAAAAGAATCGCAATCGTTCTCACTTAGTTATCATTTATTTACATTAAAAAATGCAACTGCTTCTCTTTTTCGTTAAAAACAATGTCTCTCTCTCGACTCTTCACATCTCTGCCCCCGGTACTATCGGCTTCATCCTTGCTTTCTCCGCCTATCGTTGCCGCCTCTATTCCTCCGCCATGACGGCGGTCGAGGAAGCGATGGATCTTTCAGGATTCAACTTCGAAATCAATTTCCAACTTCGTTCCTTATAGCCACTTCTTCACCCTCCCTAATTCCTTCAGAAAAACAGAGGGAGAGACAAACAGAGTCTGGATTTCCGACCCGCAATGGCAACTCCGATATTTGCCCCTGCAGATTAATCAACTGCTAAATCCCAAAAAATACAATCTAGATCTTTCTGGCCCTTCAATGGATTTTAGATCAACAGTAACCGTCTTCGACTGGAGGAAGTGGTTGTCGAGCATCATTGATAACAAACTGGGTGTGATCCGCACTCTTAATAGTGAAGTTCGCGCTCTGCTAATACAAAAATCGCGAATTTTATACTCATTATAGAGAATTCGCGTTTTTGTGAATTGGAGCGGGAACGCTGGGGTAGCTTAGGCGAATTAGGTAATCTAAGCTTCTCCCAATTTGCCTAAATAGGAAGGAAGGGGTAAAGCAAAGTAGGGACGGACAATCACCAAATCGCAATTGCAACCCAACCAAATTACATTGCAAAACTTGCGATCTTCCTTACCATCTATATTTTAACTGTTTCTCACTCCGAAATGAACGAAACTATGGTTGTGGTTGAAAACCGCAAAACTTTTTAAAAATGTATCGATGCATCCTAGAGAGGGGGAGCAATTAAGCATGTATCGAGCTAGCGAAATTGGCAGTCTTCCATACCACAATAAGCTCCAAAGGAATTACAAAGTTGCCACTAAGCAGAGATGAGATGATCATCATCGTCACCAGGAATTGCACAAACAATGGGAGATTTTGCATTATATTCCCGAGATTGAAGACCGAAATAGTTACTTTTGGATTGTTGAAGACCAAAATGGCTACTTTAGGGGAGGTGGGGGCAGCAATGAGGTTTCGTGGGAGTCGGAGGACGTGACTCATTGAGGGGCGGATTTGATATGCTTCCGGTGCAAGAAGATTGTTTTCCTGACGGAGTCGCCAAAAAAGCAGAACTTAAAGGGTTGTCGAAATTTATTATCCATTTTTTGTTGTCAAGATATGGAATCGGAGTTAGGGGGTTTTTTAAATTTTAATCCTCTTATTATCTGTAGTGGGCCCGGTGTAGTATTGGGTTTGACAGGAAACAAGTTCACCCTACGTTACCTTCAGCTGGGCTCCTCGAAATTAAATGTTTTTATTTATTGGGGCGGCGACGTCTTGTCCTGCCCTGTCTCTCGGGCCTCAACTTTCATTTTTTTATTTTATAACTTTCATTTATTAGGAAGGAAAGACGTATACAGCTGACAGCACGATAAGAGGCTCCTTTCTTCCCAGTCTTTGGAAAAAGAAAAAGAAAAAATAAATAATCCTTCTCATTTGTTTGCATATAAAAAGGAAATGGGTAAAGCCTGCAGTTTAGTCACATATTAATGTCGCCCTACATTGCTACTTTCACCCTTTGAAGGAAAACCCTTCAGCCAGCCAGTCATCCTTTATGGAAATGAGAGGGTTTCAATACCGTGGAGTCAGGAGGCGGCCGTGGGGACGTTACTGCGCAGAAATCAGGAATCCTCTTACCAAGAGAAAGATGTGGCTGGGCAGCTTCGACACTCCTGAAGAAGCTGCCAGTGCTTACGACCGTGCCGCCATAGCCCTACACGGATTCAAGGCGAAAACCAACCTGCTCAGCCGACCATCCCATCCACCACGCCACACAACTACTTCTTTCCGCCCTCTTCGGAAATCTCAGGTGTACCGTCGCCGCTACAACCGTTCCTTCGCCCGCTACAGCTGCTCAGCGAACCGGCAGGCCCCCTTAACACCACGCCGCACTTATTTCACCCCTCTCAGGAAAACTCAGCAACACTACAACCGTTCCTTCTCCCGCTACAGCTGCTCAGCGAACCTGTGCCAGCTGCAGCCCCTCTTGGCCATCGATCAGCCCTTCGGTAACCCACCTTCGTCACCAAATATTCTCACTCCCCGTTGGAACCCTGCATCCTCCGCTGCCCCATCCCCTCCCACGACTAGAGCTGCTTGGGCTAACTTCCCAGAAGAAACTACTCTTTTTGGCGCCGACAGTCCTCCTTACTCCTTCCCTCTAGTCCCGCACCCTACATCTGGCTCCGGCCTCCTCCATGAAGCCATCCAGGCGTTTCTGCCAAAAGGGTCGGGGAAGAAATCCACCTCCTACCACTACTTTTATTAATTAATTACGTGGATGCTGCTATTATCATTGCGGAGGATTGCATTTGCCGGCCCTCACCAGCTTCTTATAAATTTCCAGTGTGCTTGTTTGTATTTTAGGGGTATTAGTTTGCCCCGTGAATTAAGATACTTCTGTGTCGTGGACTCTCAACGTTATCCCCTTTTTTTTTTTCAGTATTACATATTTTTCCATTGTAGGGGCACTTTTTTACTTCAGGTTTTTATTGTCAGTTATTATGATCTGGAAACACAAAAAAAAAAAAAAAAACCCAAGCTATATATATATGTGTGTGTGTTCTTGTTTATGGTTGCTTCGAACATTTTACCAATTGGGGTTATGTAGTGTTGGTTTAGTTAAAAGTGAGTCTATGATTACAACAAACGTAAAAAAGTCTTTTAAAATAGTGAGGCATAAATAAACTAATAAAGTAGTTCGATAAAATCCAAAATGTCAAAATTGAAAGTACACCAACATAACCATTAGTACCAAAAAAAAAGTACAACAGTACCAAACGAACAAGGACTACCTTGATACATGCCAACATTGTACATACTTCAACAATCCAACCTAGCTACTCAACACTAGCTACATAATCCTCCTATCTATTGGGAGCAACGAGACCGGCTGACCGACGAACTGGCTGAGTTGGTGGAGCTGCAGATGCTTGGGCTGGTTGTGAAGGTTGTGGTCCATCAGTGACCAACAGCTCCACACCTACCCGTGAAGCTGCATTAAATTATTTACCAACAATTATATTATATACTTAAGCAACAATATATCAAACTAGCTAGAAAAATAATTAATTAAGTTGTTGGGCAAAAACTATCTGCCATATGATCACATGTATAGTGGATCTTGAGCAATGGATATGACCATACTTGGAGAATTAATATAGACCATCACAAACCCACTGAATCTGATCTCGGGTATTAGCTACGCTCGCTTAAGGGGGAAAGAAACCATAACTTTTTTTATTGGGGTCGCGGGTCTTAGCCACGCTCCCAATTTGCATAAAAAGGAAAGAGGGGGTAAAGCAAAGTAGGGGTGGGCAAACACCAAATCGCAATTGTGGCCAGGGGCGGAGCCAGGGGTATTGGGTGTCCCGCGACACCCATAATTTTTGGGATAACGATTATCTTTGTGTGGATAAAAAAATATAAGTGGTAGGCTAGATGATTTAAATTAGGATACTAAGATTATTAGTAAACATGTTATTCATTAGATCACAACTCATTTGTCATTGTATTTTAAACACTAGTTTAATAGTAAAATTGATATTCCTTCTCCCAATTATTTTGAAAATCTAACAATTGAACCTGATTACGGGTTATCCTTATTCCCTCCATTCTATCATATCCATTGGTTTACTTGCTTCTCAGAGTAATTGATTTTACCGATTGCAACCGCAGGTGTTGAAATAACATATTTAGTTTTGGGAAACTTTAGGAACAAGTTTCGAAATTGATTAAAAGATCAGTTTGTGAATGATTGTATAGTAAGATGGAGATATTTATTGAGCCGTCCAGACACTGAGTATATTTTGTAACACGCCGTAGACTTTTGTTGTAACTTGTATTAGTTAGATATTTTCTAATTTAAAATTATTTAATTATTTATTTAATTTTTGAAAGAGTACACCTCTATATAAATTTTTTTGGCTCCGCCACTAATTGTGGCCCGACTAGATCACATTGCTTGATCATGTGATCTAACTTATGGTCAATAACTTAGCGGCTTATGGTTCTGAATTCACCGAAACCATGCAGTTGTGATTCAAATTCGCGAACTGTTAAAAAATGCATTGATGCATTCTAGAGAAGCAAGTATCAAGCTGGCATGATCGGTCGTCTTCCACACCACAAGTTAGCTCAATAGGATTCATAAGTTGCCACTAAGTAGAGATGATCATAATCGAAGAACCATGACGGCGATGCTGAAATCATGTGGGTGGACTACCTCGAAAGTTTCCTCGACGAAGACATTACTAATTGGCCGGTTGCAAACGATGGAAATTAGTCGAATTCCCCTCGGGCAATTAATGTCAACTATATTATCGGATCATAGTGAGAAGAGCGTGATATGATGTCACTAATAAACTTAATTGTCCAGATATCAATTTTTTTATCCTTTTGTATTAATATTTACATGCCGATAAGTGGAAGCTTTTGTAACTTGCATGAAAAAGTGTTCCTTCATTCAAGTTCCAGAATCACTATATAGGAGCAAAATATGACAACCATTTGAGCAGTTTACGAACTGACCAAGGAACCATTCTTCTGATTGAGCTATCCAATCATTCAAAAGTTCTCTATACATTTCATCAGAGGTGAACTTGTGAAAAAACGCGAAAGTTCCCGATACAAATGCTCGCCTTCAAACGGTTTGGAAATATATCCATCCATCCCACATCGAATGCATTCATCTTGTGTAGCTTGGATGACATCAGCTGTCATTGCCAATATAGGTACATGCCAATTTGAGATATTTCTACATGCTTCAATTGATGCGTCTCCATTCTGAATTCGGTCATTGATGTTATCTTCCATTTCCCTAATTCTTCTTGTAGCTTCAAAGCTGAATGTAAAATAAAATCAACAAAGACCAAGAAAGGAGGCAGTATAAACATATTAAAGGAAAGACCCACTTACCCATCTATTGCAGGCATTTGGACGTCCATGAAGCAGGCATCAAATGTGTGAGGAGGCTCGAGAAAAGAGAGTGCCTTCTCGCCACTCTCAGCCAAGACCACATCAGCGATCCATATCTTTTCAAGGCACCAGCAGCTACCTTAAGGTTCACATAATTGTCATCCACAACAAGAATCTTCCTTCCAGCAAGTAATCCCGAAATAGACAAACTAGAGAGCTCCCGAAGATTCCCCTTGTTCCCCACACCTATTGCTCTTTGCAAAGACGCAGCCAACATACTTGACCTCAGTGGTTTCATGATTATACTCAACCCATGAAGCTCAAGCATGTCTCTTTTTTTGGAATGGTTAACAGAGTTTGCTAGGATGAATAGCTTTGAACTAAGTTGCTGGTCAAGTTTTCTTAATTTGTTGACAAAGAGAGAAGAAACTGCTGAATCCGCATCCCAAACAACTTGTTCAACTAGGACCATGCTGAAAATCGCATTCCCGATACTTATAGTAGACAAAGCATGGTCTAAAGAAGGAACTACTTCTACTTGAATTCCAAGCCTTTGCACATGGTATTTAGAGACAATGGCTCTAACTTGCCTAGAATCAACGACTAAGGCTCTCATGCATTGAAACTCTGGGTAGATAATCTTAGATTGTTTCGAGCAACCAATTGTAAAACTCGCGGTAAATGTGAAGGTGGAACCAACCTTTGGTATGCTCACAAACCCAAGTTCTCCATCCATTAGGGTCACCAAACATTTGCTTATGCTAAGGCCAATTCCGGTTCCTGCTTGTTTCCTAGAGATGGATGAACCAACTTGAACAAAAGGAGTAAAGATGCGAGGTTGAGCTTCTTGAGGAATACCTTCTCCTGTATCCTCCACCGACACAATCACACTGATACGGTCGGGAGAGAGAGAGCAATTGCGTCCATCTTGACCAATATTTTTGAATCCTGCCCAACTACGGCGTTTATCTGGTACAGGAAACCCGCTCAGTGTGTTTCTTGATGATGCTTCTCTTTCAATGTCTGTGGTTTCCATCACTTCCTCAACAAGATGGACAGTAACAAAAATGTGTCCTTTCTCAGTGAACTGGTAACAAAACAAAATAAACCATCGTCATAAGTAATCAACTCAAGGTAATAAATATGTTTGATCAGTTGCCAAAACTAATGGGATTCATTATCCTTAACTCAATTGAGAAGTGGTTAGCTTGTTATATAGTCAGTTTTTTTAGGCAACGTTATATAGTTAGTTATTAGAAGTGGACAACATAAAAAGGACATTAGCTCCTTCATTAATAATGTAATGCATTTTTGCTGAACAATAAGAAGCTTTCCTTTCTCTATGCCTCTTTCACAATGAATCTCACATATCAGATACCAATAGACATATCAGTACGAAATAAAGAAGAATAAAGTGACTAATTTTGGGACTTACTTTAATTAAGTTTCCCATGAGATTGGTGATGATTTGTCGGAACCTTCCCGGATCACCGATGAGCATATCAGGAACATGGTGAGAGATATAGACTGCCAGCTGTTACAAGAAAAAAAGTTCAAAAGGTTGGAAATCGAAGCTGAAATTGATGTGGGCGTTTGAAATTGAAAGAAGAACTATGATTATTCATAAGGCTACCTCAACCCCATTCTCCTGAGACTTCCCAGAGAAGAGAGACAAAACATCGTCCATAATGGCTCTAAGGTCAAACGGTACGGATTCAAGATCAAGCTTCCCAGACTCTATCTTTGCTTGGTCCAACACCTCATTCAGAAGTGAGACAAGAGTTTTTCCACTAGCTTGTGCGGTTCGGACATGGTCTTGTTGCGTCACATCAAGATCAGTGTCTAAAAGGATATCTAATATTCCTGAAAAAGTAAACCGAGCTCAAAGTATAAAATCCCAAAGAACTTGATATAAAGTATTAAACCGAGCTCAAGCATAATGGTAGAAAGGAATAAGAACTCTTCGACCTTACCTAATACACCATGCATTGGGGTCCTAATCTCATGAGAAACAGTAGAAAGAAACTGAAACCAAAGGTGGGCAGGTCAAGAAACAAGCCTAACTGGTCAAAGCAAAAAAATAACTTCAACTATTGAAACAAGAATTGACGTACCTGAGACTTTGCAACATCAGCAGCCTCAGCCTTTTTCTTTAACTCAACCATCCGATTGTATTCCTCCTGTACTTTGGCCATATGGTTCATGGTTGCAAAGACTATGTATCCGAGAAGCAAAGTAATCACAAGAGTAGAACCTGTAGTCGTTATTGCAAGCCACGACAATGGAGCTTTGTGCTTGAATCTGAGTTCAAAAAGAAAAACAATAGCTAATGACAACCAATTTTTTTTATAAATGATATTTTATTATTTATTACTTATAATAAAACTGAAAGGAATAAAGAACCACATGCGCCTGTTTGAACAAACAAGAACACACAGAGCAATGATAACACGATAGAAGGAAGGAAAAACACAAGCATCCTATAGTCCGAACTTAAATGGAAGGAGCAGGTAACTTAGGTGCCTCCAACATAAATCCCTGCCAAATGCATTCTTACCAATCCCAACCTGTAATAACCCAACAGGCAAGCAAAGTGGAAAAGAAAGGACAGCTCACAATGTCAACCCAAAGTAGGACACACCATGCAGACCACCTGGATACTCAAGCCATAAAGAGCTCTTGCTGCCTATGGCTGTAAGCACTAACATAACAAACCTAGAAAGACAGGGATAACAGCGACCTCAAAGAACTCCGACAGAAACAGCAACAAAGACCATGCATTGTCACCAAGACAATCCGGCATCAGCAGTCGCATTCCAGACTCATATACGGACAGCAGCAACCACTAGTCATTCAGCCTCTAAAACGACAACCAAATTTAAATGCGTACTTACTGAAAACATAGATTTCAGCTGTTGAATTACCTGCAACGCATTTCATGGTTTCGAAGGGGGTCACCGAAGTTAAGGGCAATCACGTGCTCCAATTTGTCCACATATACTTCGGAGCCATACATACTGATTGGCTGAGAACGATTAGTTGTGTCATATAGGTTAACCAGGATGGTTTTTTTGCCTGCAAACTGTTGAAATAAGTTCTCTGCGAGTGACTCGATGTCGAAGATACCTTCCAAATACCTAAAAAAGCATAATCCATGAAGTTGTGAGACCAAACAAGCCGTAGCCTCTTATCATTGCACACAGTAATGCCAAAAATAATATATACCCATCAGTAGCTTCCACCCTGTCCTTTGGAGTTGCATCTGAAGGGAGATCCCTTTTATAGACAGCAAATGTCAAAATTACACCAAGGCGATTGGTTTTCAATAACCTAAAAGGAGTAGTTAGTACCCCTTTCCCGGATTCTCTTGCTCGTAGCGCATTGTCACAATCTTCCTACAAGTTCCACAAATGGCTAATTGAGGCTTACTAATGAAAAATCCAAACTTGTTCCTAATTACCACATCTCAAATAAATTAAAATAAAAACATTCATGAAAACATATAGTTAAAAGCTTACTTTCCCGGACAGCAGATCAAGAGAAACCATATGAGCAACAGTATCTTGAGCCAAGATCACTGGAGCATATTCCTCTTGGACTAGAGATGGCTCAAACTTCTCTGGCATGTGAATGTCCTTATGAACTGGATTTTGTTGAACGGTGTTCATCTTTCTTATGGACCAACCTTGTTGCCTCTCGAACTTCTCCCTTTCCAAGTGAAGGACCCTTATAGCATATGCCACACCACTCATTAATGGCCTCTCAAAAGCTGTTTTTTCTGTGTACTTGGCAAAGGTTCTCTACACAAACAGTGCACTAATAAGTTAAAATCTCGAATCTCTAACTCAAACTCAAGCAACCAGAAATAATAGAGAAAAGCTAATCTACAAGGGAACTCTACAAACCTGATCAATAGCCAAAGCATTCTTGCCATGGTGAAAGGTGGAGATCAAGATGGATATGGCTTGAACATGGGTCATACTCGCATTGAATTGATCCTGCAACATTCTAGCTCTTTCAACACACATACTAGCAAGTGTCACTTTTCTCTTCTCGATTGCATGGTGGTTGTAGAAAGAAAACATCCATGCACAAATCACTATCCAAAAAATTACCCAAGACCATAAAAGTTTTTTCCAGAACGATTTATGCACTCTTTTCAACTCAAGTAGCTGGTAAAAATGATGGTGGATCTTGTAACTATTTGCCAAGACCTTCTCCAACAGTTTCAGCCACATTTTTTTTATAATGGTGATATAGATTACATTTAAAGAAACAAACTAAGAGTCTAAACAGAGCAATCAGGGCCAGCAGCAGCAAAATAAGAAAATATAAGGAAATAAGCCGTCCAGCTGGAACTATGGAATCCCCAAGTTAAAATTAAACTTCGAGTAAGTAAAAGAAGGGGAGCAAAAGAGTTCAAAACTGGGAAGAAACAAGAAGGTAGGACAAGTCTGGAAGGCACTAAAAGCCCACTGAAACAGGAAAAAAAACGAGAGGAAATACAATGAAGGAAAAGCAGCAATATGATGACAAGATATATAAGTTAGCAGCTCACAGACAGCCACAAGTAAGAGTGAAATGAAACAGTCCCTCAATTATTAATACCCTAGATTTTGGGGCCCGTGGCTAACTAATGCATGAATCTTTCTATTAATGGGCTAGATTTTCTGTCGTGGAGAGGTTGAACTTCAGGGGAGAAGGGATGGACAGTTTTGTAACCTAACACTACAGAGATCAAAGCATGCTTTCATCACAAAATCTAGAAAAGACCACAACGACAGTAGGGAATATATTAACGAATTTAGATGTTAAATGATAAAACCTAACCCCCAACCCCCTAATTGACTGTGTATGCACTTATGCAGGTGTGATAAATGAACTAAGATAATCAATTCAGTGGAAATACTTGAAAAAAGGAATTTTAAAGGTTACCTTGGACTGGGATCTTCAAGTTCCTTCTTTACTTCCTCTGAGAGGCTTTCTCTTTCATGACAGAATTAATAGGCTTATGGAACCTCCCTGTGAATGGGAATGGTGCTTTTACATGTGCAGCCAGAGACTTATGCAGACATTTTGTAGAGGGAAACGTTTATGTGATATTACATCCAGAATCTTTTCTGGGATACAATCTGACCAGTCTGCTTCATAGGAGTTACAAGGGATCAGATGCTATATCATGAGCTACACTATTTGTTTCACGTCCAGAGAATGACCAACCTTGTACCCTCAAAAGCTTTCCTAGGTCTGCAATATCTTTACAGACAACCGAGTTCTGTTCTTAGCTCATCATGCTTCTTAATCCCTTCAATAAGCTTCTTACAGTCAGACTCTAGGATCAACGGGCCAATTCCTTTCTCAGCAGCTTTCTCCAGTCGAAACAGAATAGCCCTTGCCTCTGCAATTTTTGCATTCCAATTCTGAGCCTCAGTTTGAGTTGCCGCCATGATCATATTCCCATTCCCGTCTCGGATCACACATCCAAGGCCGACCTCACCTCTGCTGTTCCTTCCAGCATCTGTGTTCAACGTAAAAACTCCTGCCGGTGGCAAATTTGCTGGCCAAAATTAAACAAATAGATGAAATGGAGGAAACATGTTCCTTGACAGCTGAACCGGTAGAGAGAGATCAGACTTGAAAGTGGAGGTTAATCGATTACTAACATTGGAGGAAATTTCTTGGCGGAAAAAATCTAGACAACTTTGGTTGAAAGAGGTAAATAGAAACACAACCCTCTTCCATAAGGTAGTGAATTTCAATCGGAAACGGAATAAGATCGTACAGTTAAAGATAAATGAAGTGTTGATTGAGTCTAGATGGAATCAAACAAGCATTCATAAACCATTTCCAGAACCTATACAGTGAGAGTGACAAACATAGGCTTTTCCCCGCCCAATACAAGAGAAACATCATAAATGTAGAAGAGAATTATACGCTGACCAGACCGTTTACACATGCAGAAATTTGGAAAGTGATAAAAGAATGTGAAGGAGACAAAAGCCCCAGGTCCAGATGGCTTCACAATTGCTTTCTACAAGAGGTGTTGACACATTATAAAGAAAGAAGCAGTTAAAGATCCCAAAGACTTCAGACTTATCTGCTTAGTAGGGAGTTTCTACAAAGTCTTGTCAAAGGTGCTAATGGAAAGAGTGAAACAGATTCCAGGGAAGTTATATCGATAAAGCAGTGTGCAGGGATAAAAGGAAAACAATCCATGAAGCTTCACTAATACCAAACGAGCTGATCATCGTGAGAGAAGTGAAAGACCTGGATTGATGTTCAAGCTGGACATCAAGAAGGCATTTGATACTGTAAAGTGGGATCGGTCTGTTTAAATGGATGTGGAGATTTTCAACGGATAGGTATGCAAATATGGTGGAGAGATGCTGGAAATTAATATAAAAAAATAACAAATCAGAAGGGTCAACAGGGAAATGCCAAGATGTAGTGGGATGCTCACCTTCGATCCAAATATGAAATTAAGTCCTAGTTTCTGAAGATATGCTTTCATCGAACCAGGGGGAGGGAGATCAGGTTCGTTTTGGTTTGACTGTTGGATGCCCAACCTGATCTTAGCTGAAGTTTTTTCCGCGTGTAGCAGCTGCTGCAACAAAGAAAGATCTTACCAATCTGGAATTTTTTTAATCAAGAGAATTGTGCGATTGAAACCTTATTTCAGTTGAGAGGGGGACAGAGAGAGAGAGAGAGAGGGAAATAGTTTTTGCTAAATATACTTTCGAACCTACCTCTGTGCAGGTTGTCTTATAATCCATGCAGGTTAAACTGGACACTAGCTCAACCTTCTTAGTTAGCTGTATGATGGCATCATCAAAGACAAGCTCCCGGGGGATCTAGACAGTCCAACCAAGGTGATATGGAGGAAAAAAATTCCACCAAAAGTCTGCACATTTATATGGATGGTGTATTATGGAAAAATACTCACACAAAGGTCTTGTGAAAAGGTTGGAGCTTTTCATCACTACTATCTGTTTTATTTTCAAGTTTCACATGTTGATTTTGGGATTTCGTGATGCAGCTTCAAGATAAGGCATTTAGTAGTCTAGACATGGACCCAAATTGACAGCATAAATGAAAACTTCGCACAAACAAGGGTGAGTGCTCATACCAGTATGCTTGGTGGCGCAGGGAAGTGAACAATGTAGAGATCTAGATAATTGAGCTGAAGCTTCTTCAGACTATCTTTGCAAGCCTCCAGAACATGTCCATGATCTGAATTCCACAGCTGAAAGAAATCCATGGGAAGAACATTAAACAGGAAAAGAGATTAACAAGGAATCAACAATATCAAACCTTGTGTTATCTCAAATTTCAGGAATGAATTAAGACCAAAAACAACATTGTGAAGCTTAAAAAACAAAAACAGACCTTAGTAGTGATGAAAGGCTCCTCCCTTTTCACAAGACCAGTATTGAAAAGCTCCTCCCCTTTCACCATACCTCCTTGTGTCTGATTGTCCAACTCCATAATCAGGTGGACCAGAGATGAAGATTAACACACTAATAAGATTGGAATAAAAAGTGTGACCTTGATAGCTTATTATATTAAGCAACTACGCTTCATGAAAATCCAATAACACCACTTGAATAATCTAAATCGATTTCTGCTGTTCAAGTTGCAGAATCACTGAAAACTTGACAACACATATCAGATACGTCGCAAATCTAAACTACACACAACCTATCCATTTATTTATAATAATATCGAGGATTCAAATGCAATAGTGCACCATTCCTCCTGGAACTTCAGGGGAGATGGGATGGAGAGTTCTGTAACCTAGCACCACAGAGATCAAAGTATGCTTTCTTCACAAAATCGAGAAAAGGCCACATTGACGGTAGGGAACATATTGCAGAATTTAGATGTTAAATGATAAATTCTAATTCCCGACCCCCTACTTGACTGTGTATGCACTTATGCAGGTTGAATAGATGAACTAAGATAATCAATTCAGTGGAGATACTTGAAATTAGAATCTTATGGGTTACCCAGTACTGTGATCTTCAGGTTCCTTTTTATTTCCTCTGAGAGGTTGATTAGTCTAGCAAGAGACACAACTGTTAGTGTGAGGATAAATCATAAACTTCATACCTATGAAATATAAGTGAACAGATGAACTAAGACGATTATGTATCATATCTAGGAGAAAGACGTCGAAGATGTTGACGCAATAAGGAGAATCCTGGGGCACAAAACCAAGCAAGCCAATCAAGCATTTGTTTGACAAAGAAGTTAAAGATGAAGTTTATGCATTCCATATATAACAAACATATAATCTTTGAAAATAGTTCAAATAAACTGCGGAGTGCTCATGAACCTAGCTATGTATAATCACCAATATTCCAATACATTATTTCACAGACCTTGAGCTTGACAGGTGCAGGTGATTTTAAGCATTGAAGAAATCATCTTAAGAAGTCAATATCGATTTACAGCATGGAGGCAACACACCTAAAACCCATTCACTACGTGAACATTCGTTCAATTCAACTAGATACGGACAGAGCACAGCTTCTAACTAAAACTCTAATAAACTCCACTAAGCAGTCCGTATCAGTCCTTGAGAACTAGCAGTCGAAGTTCTCACCAACATCAAAACAAGCGCTAATTACAAAGTTTCATTGGCTTATCATCGAAGCAAAAACATCAAAACATGAATCATAGTATAGCTTTCTCCAGTTGGAATCACCTACTTCAACTGGTTCATAAGCTGAAATTTCTAAACAGATAACGGCAGAGCAGGCGGAGAAGGAATCGGGATATCGATCAGCAGCCAGAAGAGAGTCATAATCCACAGCCCAAGTCTGAAGAAGGAAGAGAAGAATTCACTAATTACCTGATTCGTAGGCGCAAGGGGAAATCTCAGGCCACAGCCGAAAATTCGAAAAACCTCTGAGACAATACAATTCGAGGGCGCAGGTGATGGTTTTTCTCTCCCCTAGCTTCGATCTAAAGAAAGTGAACGGAAGAGAGAGACAGAGGGAGAGGAACCAAAATTAGAAACTCGATTGATGGAGGATGCTTGCAAAATAAAGAACGGTAATCTGAAACACGAAAAAGAAAACGAAACGAAGTGCAAGCACTGTGAATGGGAGACAATAGGACAACTGAAAAAGGACGGAGCGGTTACCTCAGGTGGCGGTCTTGGTTTACCCGAGCTCTCCTCGCCAAGAAGAATATCTATCAGGCCCACCAGGCAATCCGCGCTGACGGATGTCTGATGTCTCTGCGCTAGGGATTTGCTTCTGTTTTAGCTCAAAAAGTTGCTAGCTAACGTTTTTTTTTTTTATAGTTTAGAAGTCTGTCTGCAGCTGCAGTTGCGCGCTATGCAGATAAGGGTGAAGGGAGATGGCGCGCCCAAACTGGCCATAATTAAAAGTGGTTCCCGCCGGTTTGTTTCTTCCTTGTTTTCACAAGGTTACTATTGTTGGGACAAGTAGAAGATGTCACATTAATGTCACATTAGGCTGACACTTTGTCATTTTAACTTTGGTTTTAGTTTTGTCCCAAGTTTGGCGCAAGTGTCAATTTGGATTGAATTTTTGAATAAGATAGTTGTGACCAATTTTTCAAATTATTAGACAAATTTAGTTCGATGTTTGGGTTGACTCTCAATACTAATGGTTAAACATTCTCACCGTTAATGTCTTAGCAAAAACGGTTGATGTGACTGATGCATGATCGTCATATCATTAAATAATAAATTATTTAATTTTATGGAGAAAAAACTGAACAGTGAAAACAAAATGAAACAAAGCAACAAATTAAAAAAAAAAAGATAAACGACCTCGGTCAAAATCCATAATCTTCTTCTCTTCTCTCTTAACTAGCACTCCAAAAGGTCCAAGAACTCTTCTCCGCCACCATCAACAGCCGCTTGAGGAAACTTTCTAGTCACCGACAAGAGGGATAGGCAGTGGCGGATTCAGGAATTTTACATAGGTGTGTCATCTTTGAAAAAATAAAGTAAAATTAATTTAAAAATTAAATAAATTAAATAAGAAAAATTCCCAACTCGTACAAGTTTAAAATATCCATGATTTATTTTTGTATTCTAAAAAAATATAAAATACATTTGGTGTCTATACTGCTCAACAAATTTGTCTCGGTATATCCTACTAGACAATCATTCATAAACTAACGCATATTTGACTTCTAAATTTGTTCTTGATGTAACTCAAAACTGAAAAGACACTTTCAATACTTGTCGTACAACCATAAAATCAATACAAATTAAGGGTAGCTTGTAAATAGATTAATTGTTAGGTTTTGAAAATAATTAAAGATAGAGAATAGGGTTTTGCATAACAAGTAGTGATTATCCTTATCCATCATTTTGGTTTCGAAAGAGAAAAAATTAGAATATGTGATCGAACCAAAAGTAAATAAAAATGGAGGGTTCAAATCACAAAGAAGCAAGTTTATTAGTTCGCTTTTGACCGATTCAAATGCAATTTTGATAGAAATTTCTTTCATATTTAAGATAATTTACAGGATCAACAATGAGTCAAACTATATAGGGTACCATTCAATTAAATATTGAGTGGACCGTGAACTAATCAAACAAACAATTTGAATCGAATCAAATAACCTAGATTGTCGTGAATAGGGGGTGAAACCATTACAATAATTTTGATTTTTTTCCATGGAAAAGAAGATATTAATTAAACGAGAAGAATATGTATAATTTTTTTCAATATCATCCTTATTAATTATATAATGATACTTCGCTCGTGACATTTCTCTAAATGTCAGACAAGCAACACTTGTATATGTCACCGTTACATGTCACAATCTATATGCTATGCTGACACTTCACTAGCTACACTTCTCTAAATGTCAGACAAGCAACTAAGCTATTGTGACATTTAGTTATGTGACTAGCTTATATCACAAATACTTCTTTATTTTGACACTTTTTAGTTGACACTTCTCTAAATGACAGAAAAACGTGTTTATTGTTGTGACAATTGAAGATGTCAACATTAAATGTCACAATATATATGCTATACTGACACTTTGCTCATGACACTTCTCTAAATGTCAGACAACCAACTAAGCTATTGTGACGTTTGGTTACGTGACCAATTTATGTCAGCAATACTTCTATATTTTGACACTTTTTTAGTGACACTTTTTTAAATGACAGAAAAACGTGTTAATTGACGTGACAATGGAAAATGTCAACGTTAAATGTCACAATATATATGCTATACTAACATTTCACTCGTGACATTTCTCTAAATGTCAGACAAACAACTAAACTACTGTGACATTTAGTTATGTTACCAACTTATGTCACAAATACTTCTCTATTTTGACACTCTTTTAGTGACACTTTTCTAAATGACAGAAAAACATATTTATTACTACGACAATCGAATATGTCAAAATTAAATGTCACAATAAATATATTATATTGACACTTACCATAAATGTCACAAAAACCTTCAAAGTGAATGGTTTTACTGACATTTTCTGAAACTGTCTTTAAAAACATGTCACTATAGTTGGTTTTTTTTGTAGTGCTTGCCTTCTTTGTCGGTTGATCAATAAAACGACTTGCCATTAAATTCAATTTCTTCTTGCTGCCGCTATCCACAAGTTCTTCCAGACCGTTTGGATTTTGATTTTTCTTGTTGTTGTTTGCGCATGCAATTCCAGCTTTCTCCCGGCGCGGATCAAAGTTTGACCTTGCGCAATCTAGGTTGGACCTTGGAATAATTGCACCGGGTCATTCTTTCAGTTACTCGGCATCGGAGGAGAATGAAAGGCCTATAAGAGAGCAAGCTAGCATATCCAAATCTCTCTCTGCTTCTCTTCGACCCAGTGAAAGTAGCGAGCTGCTTTTCCCAATTTGATTGCCATGCGCGGACAACATGAATCCTAGAGCCGTAGAGCGGATCTCTACTTCCATACCATTCTCGTTCTTCTGACGATAAAACGGAACCTTCGCTACCGTCAACAGCCGTCGCAAGGCATTGGGAGACGGTAATCGTTCGAGCCAAATCGGCATCTTGTTCGACAAATATGACAGCAACCAAACGTCTTAAAATTGTTATAAACCGAACATAAATTTTAGGGTTACCGATCTGGCTGAGTCGCGGACTAGGTCGCTCTCTTTAAGACGTTCGTGGCACTGCCTCGTATTGCGCACAGCAGACTATCAGCCGGTCGCCTCCAGTATAAAACAGCCATTCTAATTTTGATGCTCATCGGTTTTGTGCGAAAAACCGGAGCTCTATGAATTCACTCTCTCTCGTGTTTCTGCTCTTCTGAGGTGTATTTAGAGGGTCTAGGGCGTCTCCTATTTATAGGAGCAGAAAACCGAGAATATTCCCTCTTTTTCTTTGGGAATAAGTCATATTTTAATTAGGGAGATAATTACTCCCACAATTAAAATATAATCTATTAAGATAATTATTCCTAATTATCTCCATAATATTCCTTTTATTAATTATCCATCTTAATTTCGTATTATGGGAAAATACTGGATAATTAATTAGGAATTTCATTATAGCTTTTCAAAGCTATTCATCCCAACAATGTCTCCATCATGGCCTCGATCCTGGTCATGCGCGCCCCTTGGGCGGTGACCTCCGTCGTCAGATTCGCGATATTCTCCGTATTGGTCGCGATCCCTGCCTGCATCTCCTCGAACGCTGCCTCTAACGCCGAGCATCGTTCAGCTGTCGTACCGGTACCCATTGCGAACAGATCCCGAACGGATTCGGAACCAGGCTCTGATACCAATTGATGAACCGTAACCCACGATTCAAGGGTTTTGCTTGTAACTCACAAGCGAGAGAAAGACGTTGGTGTCTATAAACCTTTGATTTATTTGATTGATACGGAACTAATGTCAAACTTACATATTTATAGGCTTAGGAAAGTCTAAGACTTAACCTAATCCTACTCCCATTCGGCTACCCCTTCCCAAACACAAAAGGAAAACTTGACCCAAAAGGAAAACACCCTAGCCCAATCGAAAAATTCCCCACAAGCCCAATACCGACAAAATACCCTCATCATTGTGGCAGTGGCAGAATCATAAATTCGAACGGCAAGTCCTACAAAAATTTATAATGAAAGAATTTGAACCCTAATAATAATGAGGAAGGGGTGGAGCTGCACCATGTAGGCCACATATCTGACATATGCTTACATGGTGGAATATCACTATCAAAGAACAATTATGTTCCTACTTCCTACAAGCTAGCTCGTTAGTTTCTCCCCCTTAATTTATGAAAGTTGACATTGAGGGTGGTTTCCTTCATTTAAGGCATTAGTTAAGGTACGGTCAACTAATTTTGTGTCTGTGACACTGATCTTAATTAGATCACCTAAGAAACCCTGGGCGCGGCAGGACCTGTATAAATACAATTCCCGTCATTGTTAGCTTGTCACAACGGCCATAAACGCTATCTTCCAAAGTTGAAAGAGAGTTTCTGAGAAATGGTGGGAAATGAGATTGGAGGTTCTCTTGCTGTTGCCAACGTTCAGCAACTGGCAGCGAGCGGCAGCCTAGTTATTCTGCTAATTAGAAGATTCATTAGTATATACTAATTAATATCCAAAATGTATTAACTAATATCCAAGTCTGCTGAGTATCTAGATAGCACAGACTAGTATTCAAAACATCACAAACTAGTATCCAAATAGCAGATACCAACTAATATCCACAAACAACCAACTAGTATTCAATATGGATACTCTTATATGTTATCTGGATACTCTTATGTGTTATCTGGATACTAATTATGTGCTATATGGATACTATTCTGTGTTGTCTAGATATTAGTTTGTGAATTTGGGATAATAGTTGATTCATGGTGGATATCAGTTAGCAAACTTTGAATACTAGTCTGTGCTCTCTAGATACTTTAGTACTTGGATACTAGTTCATGTATTTTGGATATCAGTTAGTATCTGCTAACGAATCTTCAAGTTAGCAGATTAACTTTTCCCGCTTGGAGGACGTACCTACTAGGTACATACGTCCTGAGCTCGAGCTCGATCCAGTTTCCAGCAATGAGTGTGTTTCAATTCTAGTGATTGATATGAGTAAGCTAGTGTCCGATGGCCAAGCTGATGGCGACGAGTTGGCTAAGCTCCATTCGGCTTGTAGAGATTGGGGTTTCTTTCAGGTATGACTTACCGAAAAAAGTTGCAATTTTCTTTACCAAACTCGGTATTTGAATGAGGGAGTTTAAAAGTGGGATGTGGTTGAATTTGATGGATACAAATTATCGGATTATTGCATGGATTGTGTGGTTGTCTGCAGGTAAGAATTCCATCAATAATGGGATGGGGAAGTGGTATGTTGGGTAGATTGGGTGTAAGTTTAGTAATATTTGATAGGGTAACGGATGACATTCATAATTTTGTGGTGATTAACCATGTATAATCTAATTATTATTCGGTATATCAGTGTCCTTTCTTTCTCCTGAAAAAGCTTTAATTTTTTTCCTCTTAATCTTTAAATTCTTACTTGTTTTAAGTCGGAACTTAATTTTTTTTGCATAGTTAGATTGGATTAAGTGTTCTCTTCAAAATGATATTCACTTTGATATATTTATGGAACAAAAAAATTGAGTAATTTTTTACCAGTATATACCATATGGTATTGACTGGTATTCAATAAGAACATACCATATGGTATGAAAAAGCTTATCATGGTGGTATGAGCATACCACTACTGTAGGATGATTGAATACATGATAGTAGGAGTATACTAATGGTCATTTACGACTTTCAACATTGTGTACCACAAGATACCACCTCATACCAAGGTGGTATTAGGTGGTATTGTGTGGTATTTTTTGGTCATGTATTTTGTTCACTCAGAAATTTGTAGACCCAATAGAACATGATGAATTCGTTCATTCTGTGCAAAAAATTTCAAAAATGACTTAAAAACGAAGAAGATACCATATGGTATGCAGTTGGTAACAAGAGACAATAAAAAAATTTTCTCAAATTAAAACGAAGAAGATATGAGCCGATTAATAAAACAAGAAAATATAAAAATATTTTTAATTCTCAACCATTAAATCTGGATTATCTGAACCGACTTAAATCTTATGGCTGAAATTTGGTTACTAATTGGTCAGTTACCCCAGACTAATGACAGTATCCTGGGCCCTTTGATAGTGACTAGATCGTATTATCCACTATTGTTGCCTAGGAAACCCTATGGTGATGGTTGATAGGGCTGGGAATCCGGTGGCGATTTTTTGGTCAAACCGGAAACCGGCGAGTTTAAACCATCCCGGTTGTAACCAAAAACCGGATTCCAATGAATCCAATCCAGTTTGCGATTGCAGTATCTCCGCCCCAGTCCGATCCGGTTAAAACCGGAAAACCGGATAGCTAGTATACCTTGCCCCAGGCCCAGCTCGGCAGCCCGCTGACACCCAAAACCCAAGGCCCAGCCCACAGACACCCTGGCCCAACCCGCCCCTTACCCTAATTCTTAGTGGCCTCCTCCAATAGACTCACTCTAAACCTCCCTCTGAAACTCACGCAACTGCCGCTTCTCTAGGCGACGCCGCCTCTTCTCTTTGATCTCAGATCAGACCCTGTTATCAACCCAGATCAAGACATGCGAACATGAAACACCCCAACCCTCCCTCTCGATCCCCCCCTCGGCTCTCCTCTTGGATCGAAGAAGAAGAAGAAGAAGAAGAATAAGAAGAATGAAGTGGCCACCGATGTCCCATCGGTCAATCGCCTCCATCCATCCCCGTACCGTGACTCACGTTGGTCAACCGCCGCTCTCCGTCCTCGTCCCATGACTCTTTCGGCCGGCAGATTCAAACAAGTCCGCCCCAAAGCCAGAGGCATGGAAAGACCTCTCTGACTCTGTTCTGTCCACCTCTCTGTTGCCGGCTGCAGAGTCTTCATCATCATCACCATTAAATGGTAGGAAATAAATAGATAAGTGATGGAGAAGCGGTCGATGTGCTTGATCGGCTTCACAGGAGAAGAGAATGCTCGCCGTCGTCGAGAATAGTAGAGAAGTGGGGAGGAGAAGAAGATTCGTGCGAAATTGGGATTTGGAACGAGATAAGAATTGTGTGGTAGCCTAGCCTGTACTCTGTAGGTTGACGGTTTTGTTACATTTTGTCCAGTCAAAAAGAGTTAGAAGGCGACGTTTAGTTTAATTCCGGTTTTTGGGTTAAAACCGGATCCAATCCAGTCCGGTTGCGGTCAAAACCGGATCCAATTTAATCCCGTTTCCGGTTGTGATATTGGCCAAAACGGTTGAAAAAACCGGGTTAATCCGGTCCAATTTTAACCGGATTGGACCGTTTCCCACCCCTAATGGTTGATGATTTTCAGTTTGTTCATTGTGGATACCATGAATTATGTGGTTTTAACAATCTGTCATCCAAATTGGTCCTGAACTTATGTAATGCGAAATTGACATTTTGTAAATAAACAGGTGATCAATCATGGGGTTGCAAATAAGGTGATGGTGAACATGAAGGTAGATATTCAAGAGTTCTTCAACCAACCATTACACAAGAGAATGGAATGTGCACAACTGCCTAATACGATCGAAGGATATGGTCAGGCGTTTGTTGTGTCGGAAGAGCAAAAGCTTGATTGGGGAGACATGCTCTTTATCATTGCACGACCTCTCGATGGAAGAAACATGAATATTTGGCCAAAAGTTCCATCTTCTTTTAGCTCTCTCCCTCTCGCATCGCTTACCCCTATGCATATAATACATTCACAACTTATTTCTGATTAGACTTTGCTAAATTTATTACTGTAATAAAGTGTCTTCTGACCAAAATACGTTCATGACTATAAATTTCAACTCGTAATCGTCGTCTAATTCATTGTAGAAACAAAGTATATGATATACTCTTGTTGCGATTTTTAACAATTTGTCACAATTAAACATTGAACTGTGAATATAAACTTTGTTATAGCTTGATTGCTCGAACCGAACAGGCCAAACTCGTTTAAGTCAGCCAATTCATCAAATTAGTAATATTTTTGGCTCCATCATGCAAAGTGCAAACCACCATCCATTTCTAGCACCCACTAACCAAAAGATTTGGTTTGCTCTTTTTTCCCACCAGGGCAACTTTGGACCAGTATTAAACAGAGTTGGAAAAGCTGACAAGTAGCTTGCTAAGTTCCATGGCTAGGAACCTTGGACTCGAACCAGGAAAGTTGTTGAGTTTGTTCGAAGAAGGTATGCAGGGTGTGAGAATGAACTACTATCCGCCATGTAAGGAAGCAACCAAAGTTATTGGTGTTGCTCCACATTCCGACGCCACTGGATTAACATTGTTGGCTCAAGTGAATGAAGTACAAGGACTGCAAATCAAGAGAGATGGGAAATGGGTTCCCATTGATCCCATTCCAGGTGCCTTCATTGTAAATGTTGGCGACATCATTGAGGTAATAATAGTAGAAATTGGTTCGATTTTGAAGTAAAGACGCTTTGACACTTTTCGAAACCTATTCATCTCAACAATAATCTTGAATATGCGTTGACGACAGATCATGAGCAATGGAAAATACAAGAGCATCGAGCATAGAGCAGTAGCGAATCCAGAAAAAGGGCGACTTTCGATTGCAGCATTCCACAACCCAAACTTTAGTGCCACGATTGGACCATTGTCGGACCTTCTCACCAAGGACCAGAAGGGACAAGCACCAAATTACAAATTCATATCACACGAGGATTATTTGAAGCTTGGGGCAAAAATTAAACTCGACTGCAAAGGAAAAGGCCTTATTCATCAAATGAAAATACAACCTGAAGCCCTCGATGGTGAAAAATAGTTGCGAAGTTCAAAATAAACTAGTTCAATGCATTTTTACTTCAAATTGTGTGACAATGATGGAAAAGACGTATGATGATCCAATTTTATCGAGTGAATTTTTAAATAGTTACTTCATATATTTGAAATTACATCACTTATAGCAATTATGAGGATGAGCACACCCATTGCACTTTTTTATGATGAAAATAGGGCGCTAAAGGTGCCCTAACCGTTATTAATCAAACCAAACGGGGTGTTTGAGCCTCAACATGTGGACTCCTTCAGGCAGAGTTTGCCCTACAGAAGCTATGTAATTAACAACATAGTTAGCCTCACGGTACACATGATCGATCCAGTGCACTTTAAATTAGAACTTTGAAGTTAATTATCAAATAAATCAAAGTACTGACATAAAATTATACAATTTAACCAATTGAATATAGTTGTTAACTTCACTCTCATTTATATCTAACCTAAATCACTTCTCTATGAACCTTCGAAATTTGTGTTTGCATTTGGGTAGCAAATCATGTGTAGAGTTCTAGCATTATGACCTGTAATTGGTGTCTCCCAAGCAAATCATATTTTACCTAAACCCTAAAAATGTCCGACTTTCTAGGGAATAAATCAGGTGCATAACCTTCTGGTCAATAATCATATATAATCCAATTAAAATCCGCCACATCAACGCCTCATCTCTCTCGTGAAAAAGCCTTTAATTTTTTCCTTCTTAATTTTTAACGGATGATTTCTCACTGTTTTAAGTCGGAATTTAAATTTTTTTGTACAGTTAGATCAGATTAATTGTGCTCTTTAAAATTATATTCACTTTGATATATTTTTGGAACAAAAAAAATTGAGCCATTTTTTTACCAGTCTATACCATATGGTATTGAGTGGTATTGAAATAAGAGTATATCATATGGTATGAAAAGTGTAATGGTGTTATGAACATACCAAGACTGTAAGATGGTTGAATACATGATAGTATGAGTACATTAACTGTCATTTACGACTTTCAACATTGTGTACCACAAGATACCACCCCGTACCAGGGTGGTATTTTGTGTTATTGTTTGGTCTTGTATTTTGTTCACTCAGAAATTTGTAGATCCAATAGATCATGATGAACTTGCAAAATTTTCAAAAACGACATAAAAACGAAGAAGATACCATATGGCATGTTGTTGGTACGAGAAGCATGAAAACAAATTCTCAGAATATATTGAAAATTGATCTCATTTTGTAGAGCACCACAAACTCGTTCCATCTGTGCAAAAAAAAAAAATGAAATCCGAGTTAAAACGAAGAAGATATGAATCGATTAAGAAATATAGGGAAAATAAAAATGCCGTCAATTTTCCACCGTTAGATATGGATTTTTTGAATGAATAGTTCAGATTTAGTTACTGGATCCGACTTTATAATACCTCGGACAATAATAATAATTTTATTATTATGTTTATTATTATAAAAATAACGACTGTTTGTATTAGGGTTTCAGTGGGGATTGGTCTACCATAAATACCTTGCAACCCACGCGGATAACTGCCCATGTAATGGGCTCAAGATAGGGTGCATAACCCACCCATCAATAACCAAATCTGAACCCTTCATTTAGAAAATTCAGATCTAACGATGGAGAATTAAAGGTCATTTTTATTTTCCATACATTTCTTAATCGGCTCATATCTTCTTCGTTTTAACTCGGATTTTAATTTTTTTCTGCACAGATGGAACGAGTTCATCGTGCTCTACAAAATGAGATCTATTTTCAATATTTTTTGAAAAAAAAATTCTTATCTCTCGATACAAACTGCATAGCATATGGTATCTTCTTCGTTTTTAATTCGTTTTTGAAAACGTTTGCACAGAGACGAGTTCATCATGATCTATTGGATCTACAAATTTCTGGGTGAACAAATTACAAGATCAAAAAATACCACATAATACCATACAATACCACCCTGGTACGGGGTGGTATCTTGTGGTACACAATGTCAAAAGTCGTAATGACAGTTAATATACTTCTACTATCATGTATTCAACCATCCTACAGTCTTGGTTTGTTCATACCACCATGATACGCTTTTCAAATCATATGTATGCTCTTATTTCAATACCAGTCAATACCATATGGTATAGACTGGTAAAAAATGGCTCAATTTTTTTTTGTTCGAAAAATATATCAAAGTGGATATAATTTTGAAGAGCATAATTAATTTGATCAAACTGTGCAAAAAAAAAATTGACTTCAAACGAGTGAGAAATCGTCCGTCAAAGATTAAGGATTAAAGGCTTTCCAGGAGAAAAAGTGATGTTGATGTCCCGCTAATGTGGACGAGTTACTCATTGTTACTCACCACAAGGTTATTGACATGATCCGTTCCCCTGTAATGAGACTCAATCAAACCTTGGCAACTCGACAAACCTTGGTCGTCTTCAGTTGGCTCAAAGAAGAAAAGGTAAGTTGGGATTTCGAGGTATCGTTTGCTGTGGGCTGATATCTCCTTCTCCCCACTCCGATCTCAATCTCCATCTCCTTCAGCCAAGGCGATGGCCGAACTTCTCCCCTCCTCCAGGTATTTCTCCGATCCCCCACGGCGTTTGGATGGAAGCTAGGCAAGTTCACGAACCTTGGTCGTTTTCAATTGAATAAAATATGAATGTCACCATAATAAAAAAAAATGATCAACCACTGTCCACTGATATGGAAGTGATCCAATAGAAATTCTTGTGTAGGAATTAGGTGGAATAGTCATGTTCATACCTAACATGTATTTTGAAGGTGATATGTTGCCTTCTTTCTTTTCAACAAGTTATTTATTTTCAAACAAAAGAACAAGGGGTTACAAACTAACCAACTCATTCTTTTAGGGTTGTTATTCTTCACCCTAAAAATTTTTATTTCTCGTCCTAATTAATTTAATTTTACTCTAATGCTCTTTGAGTAAAATTTCTCATTCTTGCCGGCATGGTTGTATCGACGGCAAACAGGAATTACATGCCTCTAGCGCTACGGATGGTAATGGATCATCAACATCATCACCAACATCAAAATCAGGGTGCTTGGACGGCCCCGCATATTTTGCTCAATTTTTTTTTTTGGCATTTCTTTGCGAAGACACCACCTATTTTCTTCGTCTTCGCCTCGCCGTCCGTTTAATTTCCTCTCCGGCAATAATTCGTTCCTCCTCTCTCATAGTCGCTTGCCCTAATTCCGGCTGGACGCCGCCTCCTACCGGAGGTTCTTCTTGGGATCCTCTCCTCTATGTCTCCTCGGTACAGCGCTGATCAAAACTCCTCGCTATAGCAGGCCTTTGGGTTCGTCAACGTCATCATCATTAACGAATCCACTCATTTCTTTTAGGCGGCGGATTTGGATTAGGGGTGAGGGAGAGACTAGGGATTGTTTGGTTAGGATTTAGAATTGAAATTAGGGTGAGGGGTAAATATGTCAATTTTTTGCATTTCAGGGCGATAAAATTTGAATTTTAGGACGACGAATAGCGATTCAGATTCTTTTACGGGTGACCAATAAAAAAGGTAACGTAAATTTAGTTTAGTAACAAAATAGCCACAAACGTTTAAAAGACGTGACAAAAATGTTATATATGTTATATATATGATATAACAAAACTGTCATTTCATTTTTTTAGCTATAATTTCATCAGCATAACCAATTAGTTTGCCAACAACATGCAAAATTAGTAGCAAATTATCAACCACCAAATAAACCTGAAAATTATCCCTTATCCAGAGCAAGCAAATTCATCATTTTGGATGAAAATAATCAAAATTTGGATGGAAATACATGATATAGTTGTTTTATTATATCATAATACTTAAATTATCTTTTTGTTAAGTTATAAACCTTTGTAACTATTTTGTTGCTGTCTCAAACCATATAATCATTTTGATCAATTATCTATTCTTTTACTTAGTCAAAGCGTTTAATTTTATTGGCACGTCGCTTTAACAAGGAAAAGCCTACACAGGCTACAGCCGGCCCTTAGTACTATTTATTTGTACACATATATGATTGATAATTTGATATATATGGTGGCTACTTCGGTGCACTCACTTTTTTGGATGCATTCAGTGCACCTATTTCTAAAAGTGTCCATAATACATTAAATTTTAAACTTTAATTAGTACTCTCAATCTAACATGATGATATGACAAAGAATCATAACAAATCAATTTATTACCCTAACCCCTTAACCTTCAATTTTGAATCCCAATGCAAAATCCCAAACTGTAAACCTAAACCCTAAGGCCCTGTTTACTTTCATTTCTGTTTCCTGTTTTTGAGAAAACAGATGTTGAAAACAGGTGAAAACAACATTTCGTCGTTTCCGAAAACAGCAGGAAGTTGCCACTTTCTGTTTTCATAGTTGGAAACGAATAGAAAACAGAATGAAAAGTAAACAAGTTTTCTCGTTTCGGTTGCCAAATTTATGACATGAAAACAGAAAACAGGAAACGAAAATGGAAGTGAACCCCTAAATACTAAATCCTTCAAATTAAAGTAAATCTTAAATGATTTTTATTCAAATTCATGGGCTTATTGTTCATAATATCATAAGCAACAATTGATACCATTTTGACATGAATCGCATGCTCAGAATGATGATTATGAGGCGGGTGCGTTGAGTGTACCCAAAAAAGTGATTGCACCGAATACGCCACCATATATATATATATATATATGAGTTATTCCAGGACGCAACGCAAGGATCTATAAAAACATATTCCACCGTCTCGACATTAGCTTCACTTTGATATAATTAAGGCTAATAGTCTGACGTCTCTACCTTTCAAAAGAAGATGAGTTCTTAGAAGCTGTGGGAAATGGAGTTTGGAGGATCTCTTGCTGTTCCAAACGTTCAACAACTCGCTTCCAGCTCCAACGATGTTGTACCCATAAGGTACATCCGTCCCGAACTCGAGTTTGAACGAGTTTTTGATGACGAGTACTCTGGTCGAATTCCAGTAATTGATATAGGAAAACTCGTCAGTGCGCATGAAAATGATGAGGAATCGACTAAGCTCCATTCGGCGTGCAAAGATTGGGGATTCTTCCAGGTAGGCCGCTCATCCATAGTTCCATCCTTATGCACATGATTCCTGAATTTGATTCATTTAACTATATACCATGTTAAAAAAAAAAACAGGTGATCAACCACGGAGTAGCAGAGGAAGTGGTTCTTAACATGAAGGCTGATGTTCAAGAGTTTTTTCGTCAGCCGTTGCAAGAGAAAATGGAATGTGCACAGCAACCAAACGACCTCGAAGGATATGGCCAAGCATTTGTTGTATCGGAAGATCAAAAACTTGATTGGGGTGACATGCTTTACATTTTAACACGTCCTCTTGATGGAAGAAATATGAGATTTTGGCCAAGAGTTCCCTCATCTTTCAGGTTTGACTTCGTCCCCTATATCAGTATTGACCAAATCAAATGCATACAACAAGTCTGCGCAATTAAAGTGATTCGTGAGTCAACTTGATTGCCAATTCGAACTAAACAAATGCTCTCACCTTCTTCTCCAGGGCAACTTTGGGTGAGTATTCATCAGCGCTTGAAAAGTTGTCGGTCATCCTACTAAGTTCCATGGCAAAAAACCTCGGAATCGACCCAGAAAAGCTCCTCTCGTTGTTCAAAGAAGGTGCTCAAGGTATAAGAATGAACTATTATCCACCGTGCAAGGAAGCAGGCAGGGTTGTTGGTCTCACCCAACATTCCGACGCCGGTGGATTGACATTGTTGACCCAAGTGAACCAAGTTCAAGGATTGCAGATCAAGAGAGATGGGAAATGGGTGCCGATTGCTCCCATTTCAGGTGCCTTCATCGTCAACGTCGGCGACACCATTGAGGTACTTACAAAACGTTAAAACTAGGAATTTGAGTCGATTGACAAACTCTAATATCAATTTGAACAAAAGAGAACTCATGTAGATAGTTTATTGTGCACATTACAGATAATGAGCAACGGAGAATACAAGAGCATAGAGCACAGAGCGGTGGTGAACCTCGAAAAGGAGAGGTTGTCGGTTGCAGCATTCCACGGCACAAACTTGAATGCCATGATTGGACCATTGCCAGCCCTAGTCGATGGGGATCAGAAGCCAGCACCGAATTACAAGACCATGTCTACCATAGATTACTTCAAGCTCGTTATAAGTTGTAAACTCGACGGCAAAGGCCTCGTTAATCAGATGAAGATACAAACAGAAGCATCAGAATGAAAGAAAACCATTGACAAAAAAAAACATTGAGGTTGTTTGAATGGATCAATTCCAAAACGAGATAATGTGATCAATTGTCTCATTTTATAAAACGAGTCATTTGTAATGAGTTCGAATCATCTACCCTACCCTAGACAATTGGAATTGACTCTGAACGGATCAATCAAAATTCTCTAATTCCAATTGATCCATCCAAATTTTTTGCTCACAAATGTATCAATTTGATCTAATTGTTTCAAAACGAGACAATTGAGTCAACAGTTCATCATCTAAACAACCCCAATAGTTGCAAAGTCCAAACTCTGACGAACCAATGTTTCAGATGCGTATTACGTACGTACCCATTTGTATATGATATCTATACTCTGCAACCCAGTAGCATTATCAACCCAAAAAACCCAACTTTCATGGAAGATCACAAGAAATATATTAAAAAAAGCAACTGGTCTACCAACTTCTCTTTTCATTTTGCAAGGAACAGGAAATTCCTCCTTTCAGAATGGCTTTCGCAAATCCAAGAGCTCTAGTAGCTGCCAAAGCACTGAAACGAGCTCCCAAGTTCAGAATGTTGAGGATATTAATTACTTAGTCAAAATGTTATTAATTCCTTGTCCTACAAGTCCCTTGTTTCCTTGTCCAGGTAAAAGAGGGAACTTGGTTGTCATTAGGGTTTTAACCCTAAGTCTATCTCTATAAAAGCTTAGCTACGAACCTGTCGTAAGCAAGCCGTCACAATGTAGTCCCTAATAAAATATCAGTCGTGAGCTCGTTCCGAGCTCACCGTGGATTAGTCTCGATCAATCAATCGATCGAGGATACCACGTAAAATCCCTTGTGTTCTGTGTTCGTTTCAATTCCGCGTTATCAAATTCTACATGGTATCAGCTTGAGGGGGAGAATAGGGAGTCAAGTCGTCCAGGAGATGCAGTCAACCATCTCCACCATATCATACGGATAGACGTAGTCAATCGTCTCCGTCAAGTCATTCAAGAGACGCAGTCAACCGTCTCCGTCAGGTCGTTCAAGAGACGCAGTCAACCGTCTCCATCACGACGTTCAAGAAGATGCATTCAACCGTCTTCGTCAGGTTGTTCAAGGGAGAGAGTCAGTCGTCTCCAAATCAACCTCGTCCGAGTTGTTATTCATCTCGAGTTATGTTGTTCAAGCTTGTCATGCTTGTTCGTCACATTTCCTTTGTCAAGCTCGACATTCTTGTCACTCGTGTCTTCGCTTGAGGGGGAGTGTTGAGGATATTAATTACTTAGTCAAAATGTTATTAATTCCTTGTCCTACAAGTCCCTTGTTTCCTTGTCCAGGTAAAAGAGGGAACTTGGTTGTCATTAGGGTTTTAACCCTAAGTCTATCTCTATAAAAGCTTAGCTACGAACCTGTCGTAAGCAAGCCGTCACAATGTAGTCCCTAATAAAATATCAGTCGTGAGCTCGTTCCGAGCTCACCGTGGATTAGTCTCGATCAATCAATCGATCGAGGATACCACGTAAAATCCCTTGTGTTCTGTGTTCGTTTCAATTCCGCGTTATCAAATTCTACACAGAAGAACTTGAACAGGGTTTAAGTAATTTGGAAAAAAAAATAGGGTGATAAGAAAATATTGCCAAGAACACAAAGCCGTCCCTCTAGAACTGCCGCCCATTGATTCCGTCAGTCCCTTTCTTTGATTAGTAGTTAGTACTTAGTACTGATCCATGCACGTCAATTCCCTTTTCTTCGATTTGGTGGGTTATTTGAGCTTGTGCGTGTCGTTTACGAGAATACTGTGAAGTGCCGTCCTCTGCCACTGCCGCCCATTGATTGTGTAAGTTGGACCTTCAAATCCTCTGTTTCTTTTCCTTGATTTGGAGAAGTTCACATTCAGACTCAGTCAACTAGTTTTGTGCCTATGACACTGATCTTTCATTGTTGGCAAAGCCTGCAGCCGGACTTAGTTTTACATAAACAGAATCGCCGTTTCAGTATTAGATTCTCACAGCAGCCGTATCTAGTTACTTTGATATAAGGTTAGTAAATTCTCCACCTCTCAAAAGAAAGAAGAGAGAGTTGTTTGCTAGAAATGGGGGGAATGGAGTTTGGAGGGTCTCTTTCTGTTGCCAATGTTCAACAGCTCGCTTCCACCTCCAAGGACGTCCCGAGCAGGTACATTCGCCCTGAATTCGAGCTCGATCGAGTTTCCAGTGACGAGTCTGTCCAGGTTCCGGTGATTGATATGAGCAAGCTAGTGGACGATGGCGAATTGATGAGGCTTCACTTGGCTTGTAAAGATTGGGGATTCTTTCAGGTCTTGCTCATTAGAATTTCTTTCTTGTTTTGAGTAACTTTTCCATGAGGGCATGGCAACTTTTTCATTCTGGATTCCAAGTGTTTTAACCCAAATGGAACTGTTATGACAAGAAACAGGTGATCAATCATGAAGTTGCAGAGGAAGTAATTTCAAAAATGAAGGATGATGTTCAAGAATTCTTCAACCAGCCGTTGCAGGAGAAAATGGAACATGCACAGCTACCAAACAGCATCGAAGGATATGGACAAGCGTTTGTTGTATCAGAAGAACAAAAGCTTGATTGGGGCGATATGCTCTACATTCTTGCGCAACCTGTCAACGGAAGAAACATGAGGTTTTGGCCGAGAGTTCCCTCTTCTTTCAGGTTGCTATCCTCGGTATCCAAAATGCTTAAACATGGCTCAAGACTTCTCCAATCCAAACTCGCTTGATGTGACCCATTTTGCAGATTATTATTTCCATCTCCTTCAACATGACTCGTGACTTGACCTGCTAATAAAACTTCTGGTTTGCCTCCTTCGAGCAGGACAACTCTGGACAAGTACTCATCGGTGCTGGAAAAACTATCTGTCAGCCTGCTGAGTGCCATGGCTATGAACCTAGAACTCGACCCAGAAAAGTTACTCTCGTTGTTCAAAGAAGGTTCGCAAGGTATAAGAATGAACTACTATCCACCATGCAAGAAAGCAAGCAAGGTCATCGGTCTCGGCCCACATTCCGACGCAGTTGGATTGACATTGCTGACTCAGGTGAATGAAGTTCAAGGACTGCAAATCAGGAGAGATGGCGAATGGGTTCCCATTATTCCCATTCCGGGTGCTTTCATCGTGAATGTTGGAGATGTCATTGAGGTACAAAATACTAAACTAGAATGAATATCCAGAAATTAGGGTTTGATTATAGACAAGATTTGCCGAGAACTAACAGGTAATAATGCCATATATGATATGATAGATATTGAGCAATGGAGAATACAGGAGCATAGAGCACAGAGCAGTGGTGAATCCAGAAAAGGAGAGACTCTCAATTGCAGCATTCCATACCACCAACATAAATGCCATGATCGGGCCATTGCCAGACCTCATCAACAAAGATCAGAAGAAGCAACAACCGAAATACAAGACCATATCTGCCCCGGAATACATCAAGCTTATCATAAGCTCTAAACTGAATGGCAAAGGAAACATCCACTCCATGAAACTAGAAGCAGAAGCATGAGCTAATACAGGCTTTTGGAATTATCAAAGTGGAAAAAGATCAAGATACAAAATGGTTTAGCATACTCATACAATTCCAAATCAAGTACAAACCCTATCAACTAAATACAACTACAAAACTATTTCACTCATTCCAGTCGGTACAATCAGATTATCATACGAAGATCGAGAATTGGGGATGAATTGGGGATCTCTACTGGGGAAGATTGCTATTGTGGCATATAGTCCTGTCAACTAGACATCTTCAAGTTCATCGCGCCAACAATTCCCATTCACATACACATTGTAGAAACTGGAGTTGCCCTGTTCATCGACAAGAGAACAAAATGAGAGTTTACGGAAAGAAGATTACACAGTATTAGATGAAGAGAATTTCCAAATTTATAAGAAATAGATATGGTAGAAAGATTTGAGAAGGGGCATCAGTTCTCCAAGGTGATGTAGCATCAATGATATTCAGCCGCAAATTACCCATTTGTTATATGAGATTCATCCTCTGGCCCCAAACAACCAATACAATAACAACTCAAAAACAATTGGAAATTCAACGAAGAATCGGAAGGGTATGAACGATCAGATCCTGTCGAGATACGATATAACATCACACAGTTATATTAGTCAGAGGATTGACAGAGCATGACTTAATATCGTCACTTCGCTCTAACCCAGTCTTTTGTCTTTTCCAGTTGTATCAGAAAACAATGAAAGAAAGATATTGACAACAGAAAAACACAATTGAAGATGGAAACTCAAAAGGGTTTTCTTTGATCCTTTTTTGGGGCTCAGAACTTCTTAGAGGGTTGTGTTTGCCGTCACCGACTGTAAAAGTCTCTGGTACACTGATAATTTCTTCCTCACAGCAGCCAAAAAAACTTTGGAAACGAAAAACCCATAATGGAAATCAGAAAAACGAGCAACAATACGAGAACAGATCACAATGAAAGAAAGTAGGGAGTAGATACGGCTGCTCATGAATGAAGCCGAGAGAGCACTGTTTAGAAACCGAGATGGCGTTTGTGATTTATAGGGAGGATTTAACAAACAGCAGCGCGAAACCCTAATTTCTCTGGGCTGACGGACTTGTAATACTTTGCCGCCAGTCCTCTGGCCCACATTACAATCTGATTCCAGTTTTCCGTATCTGCGAGCCCAGGTCCAAGTTCGTTAATGACAGGCCCAAATGATGAAATAATCTCTCTCGCGTTAATTCAGCATTTTCGTGACCGACCGGCGGCCTACCTGAAAACGAAAACGGTAATGGCGATTCCTCCACCGTCATCATCCAGAGGCCGGAGTGGAATAACAACTATCCAGCAGCCGGCGCCGTCGACGAGCACAAGGGGAGGCACCGCCAAAGTTACTGTCGCCGAACAGATCTCTCAGACCGTTCAGTCCACCTTCAATCTCCTCCAGCTGATGCAGGAAACGTCTCCTTCCCAGGCACATCCTCTCTCTCTCTAATTCCTCCTATATCTCCGATCGACTGTCCTCTTTCGTTGTCTTTTGCTGGATGAAATCGTCGCTCTTTTCAATTTTGATGTACTCGTTTGTCATTGCAAGGAAGGGGTTGATTAGCCTAGTTTTATATGGCGATCTGGTGATGGGTAATTCGAAAGAAGCCATTTTTACGGAAAATACTGTTGTGCATACATAAGCCTGTCCTAATCTTCTGTTTCTGCAGGCACAATTGTCTAAACTTCCGAAGAACCTTATGGCAAAAGCCTCCACGATGAAGAACACTGGCCAAGTGTGTAGTAGTTACTTAAGCTTCTCATATATGGTTTAATTAGTTTGTCACTTCATCGTTCATACTGATTGCCCATTATGGGTGCACTGGTTTCAATTTTTCTCAGATTTTGGAGCAGCTGCCGCAGGTGATTTCAACATTGGATGCACACATGGAGAATGGGTTGCAAAGGTAGTGTTCCTGGGTGGTTTGTTTGTTGTTGCCAAATTTTAGTCGTGAATGTGGCTGTTCATTTCTCTGAATTATCTTGTATGTCGCTATGAACTATAAGTAGTTGATAAGATATAGATAGTTTTGTGGGGGGTTTCCTGTATCGTGGTAACTCTCACAAGAACTATAAGTAGTTGGGACAACGTAGTACCCAGACGACGAAATCAGTAGTCGCGTATTGAGAGGTTTACCTGTTAGGGCTAGCATCTGCAGCCAGCAATGCAGCTGCCAAGCACTCGCTGGCCTTTGAAAGATGAATGTATGATCTGGTTTACACTTGAAAGTTTATACTGGAATCCTGCTAGTTTCCTCTATTTTCATTCGTGCTATGATATGTGAAAAATCTGAACTTACTGCCCATTCATTATGTACTTACAACCTGATTATTGCAGCGCTCCTCATCTGCGAACAGTGTCCCAAATACTTGCTAATATGGAGAATTGTCAGCTGAGTTCCCTTTCCTCTGCCCATGTTGCTGAAGAGGTATACAGCCTCATCTCTTTCAAATCATGGTATCATACAATTTGCATTGGCATTCACGTTCACGGAATGACCTACATAACAAACTTGATGTTTGCCTCTTCAGCAACAGGAAGCGGACAATCGTTCTCCCAAGTCTGGTTGAAAGGTGAAATATTGCAGTTGCCAAATGACATGAAACCGGAAAGCTTCGTCCTGTCAATCCTGGCTGGTAATTCTCTGGAAATGCCGATCGATATTTGCAGTCTTGCTTCTTCTGTAGATGGACGAACCATAGCATTTCGCAGCTGCTCTGCAATCACTGATTGCCAATCAGCACGTTCTCCTTGTGGACGAATCCAATAACGAAAAATGAAGATAGATGTAGATAAAATTCCCATTTTTTCTGTATCTTGTGTAGAAGTAGCAACAATCATTGTCTCATTTTTTTTCAATTTGGGTGAGTTACAGTATGTTCTGGAGCTTAAACAATTCAATCAAAAAACTTGATGGAGATTGGAGTCTAACTTGTTAAATGCCAAAAGTTCAATGACTGTTTATCAATGATGTGGACGTTTAGCGACTGTTTATGGTATTTGACCCAAATAATCTCCCAAGTAAAGCTTGCGTTTCTACAAAAGAAAGTAAATAAAGGTCCTGCCTTTTTCGGCAACCGCGAAAGAACGCAGTGTCCGATTAGAATAGGAAACGGCATTTACGCGGGGGAAGAGAGGCCAAGCGGGAATTCCACGAATTGGGCGGTGGAGGTATAAAATGGCAGGGCGCCGCTCTGCACCAACCACCAGCCAAGCCTAATAAATCGCAAAACAAGAGCGGGGGAAGCGCCACCTCCGCCGCCGTCGCTGCTGCACCACCGCTGAGAGAGTGCTTTCGGTCTTAACCGTCCGAGAAATTCTCATCCACATATTAAGCCTCTTAGCCCCCGCGGGAAAGAGAGTAAGAGTGGTGAGAAAAAAATAAAACCGACGATTGAAAAATGGCGTCGCTTACTCTGCCGTCTCCTTCTCGGACCATGCCGTCTGCCCGCCTTGTCCCTTCCCAGCGGCTGCCTCTGCCCCTCTTCCCCCGGCGCCGCACCTCCGACCTGCCGTTCGACGGAGCTCCTTCTCTCTCCCGATGCATTCGCGCTCAAAACGCCGCGGTAACACTTCCTTCTCTCTGCATTCACAAAGGAGCTATTCGACCGTATTATTGACTGCCACTGTAGTAACTCGGTTCTGTTCGATTTCCTGCGGCGATAGCTTGTGAATTTGTGATTGCCATCGGATAATATTCGAAGAAATTAGATTTTCAACTGCTTGAAACTCGGTTTTGTAGAGAGGTGTGAAGGAATTGAACTCAGATTGCTATAATGTCAAGTGAAGGGGAAAAGAGTTCCCTGTGCACAATTGTGTATTGTTCAAAATTTGGACTCAGTTGATAAGAACTGTTGACAGAATAAGACATTGCAATTTTGACGTATTTCTACGTGATTGCTTTGTTTGGTTGATTGATTGCTTATGGTGATGATATATGCTTCTACTAGAAATGTGATGTAAGTGAGCCACTGGATTTCGGGAATGGGAAGCCAACCATCCCGGTTCTCAATGCGAGGACACTGCCCAAGTTCTACGAATCGACTTCATTGCAGAACACTGTTAACAGAACTAGCTCGCGGCTGAAACTCTTCTCGGGCACAGCTAATCCTACTCTCTCTAGAGTAAGGTTTTCTCTAGAATACTTTCAGAAACGTGGCTCAGCTCTCATTTGGGATTCATTTTTCTGAACAGTGAAAATGGTTATTTAAGTGCAGGAAATTGCTAGGTATATGGGAAAGGAACTAAGCAAGATCAACATTAAGCGATTTGCCGATGGCGAAATTTATGTCCAGCTGCAAGAAAGTGTTAGGGGTTGTGATGTCTATTTAATACAGCCAACTTGCCCACCGGCAAATGAGAATCTCATGGAGCTTTTGATCATGATTGATGCTTGTCGAAGAGCATCGGCCAAGAATATAACGGCTGTGATTCCTTACTTTGGTTATGCCAGAGCTGACAGAAAGGTAAGTTTTTTGAATCTCTTGCTTGGTTGAGATCACCAAATGAAGAATGTTTGTATGTGTTGTAGCATAATAATGGTGTGATCTTCTGGTGTGCAGACTCAGGGCCGCGAGTCGATTGGTGCCAAGCTTGTTGCAAATGTTTTGACGAAATCAGGTGCGGATCGCGTTCTTGCCTGTGATCTTCACTCTGGGCAGTCTATGGGTTACTTTGACATTCCTGTGGACCATGTTTATTGCCAGGTAACTTAACTTCTCCTCTTGACTGTCTGTTTTTCTTATACTTGCTTGCTGATCATGTTTTCCTACATGGTATAGCCTGTTATTCTGGATTATCTTGCAAGCAAGACTATCAGCTCCAATGACCTAGTTGTAGTTTCACCTGATGTTGGTGGAGTTGCACGGGCACGTGCTTTTGCAAAGAAACTGTCAGATGCCCCTTTAGCTATTGTGGATAAAAGGCGTCATGCTCATAACGTTGCTGAGGTAATTTCGTCCCTTTATCTATGCTGATCGATACTCCTCTATATGTTTTATTGTCTTCCTCTGATATCCATGACCCTTAAATCACACTTCATGTGGGAATTCAGGTGATGAACCTCATTGGTGATGTGAAAGGGAAGGTTGCAGTTATGGTGGACGACATGATTGACACTGCAGGTGAGTTCTTCAGTTGTTCTTGATTTCTGAAGTTGCGAGTGTAAAAATCCGGCTGTTATCTGATCATTTTATTACTGGGCCAAGAACAGGAATTATAATAGTCCTCTATATCTTGTTGAAGATGTTGATTTCAAGTCATCTTGCCTTTTCATTTTCTCAAGTTTCGTAACTGGCCTTACCGTACAGTAAAGGTTCAACGGATTGATGCCTCAAGACTAAACTTGTTGATTCAATTTGTAGGAACAATTGCAAAAGGAGCAGAGCTGTTGCACCAAGAAGGGGCTAGGGAAGTGTATGCCTGCTGCACTCATGCTGTATTCAGGTAAACATATCCATATGTTATCCATTCCGCTCCCTTCCAATTTGCTTGAGTTTTGGCCGCGGACTAGTTGACTCACCAGTTAGCGGAACTTCTTGGTCAAGTTACTGTGTTTTATTGATCATCTTCGAAGACCGAGTTACAGCAGTTAACGGAACTTCTTGGTTAAGTTACTTGTTTTATTGATCATCTTTAAAGACTGAGTTACACTATTCATCGCATTGCTATGCAGTCCTCCAGCGATCGAGAGGCTGTCGAGCGGGCTGTTCCAAGAAGTCATCGTAACCAACACACTTCCAGTAGCGGAAAAGAACTACTTCCCCCAGCTCACCATTCTCTCCGTCGCCAACCTCTTGGGTGAGACTATCTGGCGTGTTCACGATGATGGCTCCGTCAGCAGCATCTTTCAATGACGAAAATCATTCTAGGCTTTTTAATTTAATTCTCCCCAATTTTCCCTTCGGCCACAAATATTTTTTGTAAGAGCAGTTAAATTGGATCTTTCTTTGTTGAATGTGATCACTACCCCATCTAGTTTCGTACCTTAGAAGTCATCGTTCTAACCGGATTCAGGAGTTGATCAGACGCTTGTCATCTGTTTTAGGTAATGTTAACTAGATGTGAACTTTTCCCTGCCCTTGATTCAAACCCAACACCAGATTACATAATTCAGTAATGTAACAGGCTCAGCACTGTAAGTACAAATTTATAAGTGAACTGGATGTGAACTAATTAAGAAACTAGTAAACCATTAAGGAACATCCATTGTTTCACGTTCATGAACACCATGTGTGATTATAAACGTTAAACTACAACGGGAAGTGAAAGCACTAAAGCAAAGAAGGTTCTTTTTGAACTTGGAAAGGAAATCATTATCCCTATGTGCAAACGATTTCGCTCCGAGGCCACTGTCTAGATAGCTTTCTTCTGTTTATAACTCCTGGAACATGCGATATAGACCACCATATTTGCAAAACTCAACCCTGCCAACAGCCAGAAGAAATAATCAAGATGCCCCTCGTTCAAGTTATCTGGTATCCACCCAGGCTGCAACCCGCCCTTTGTGGTAAAATACGCCACCATTGTCAGGATAAACGAACTCAAGTAGTTCCCCAATGATGTCGTTAGCAGCGCCAATGCGCTGCACAGGCTCCGCATCGCATCAGGGGACTGCTCGTAGAAGAACTCAAGCTGGCCGATGAACGTGAACACCTCTGCTGCTCCGATCAGCATGTACTGTGGGATCTGCCAGAAGATACTGAGCGGGACAGGTACAGCTTGGTCAACCAGTCCTAGCTCATCAACGAGCTGGAGCCGCTTGATCTCCACGAGCGCTGCTGCTGCCATAGCAAGGATCGAGATCAACAGGCCGATCCCCATGCGCTGCAACTCGGAAAACCCCTTTGGGTTTCCAGTGAAACGAGAGGCAAGTGGAACGATGAATGCGTCGTAGACTGGGACCCACAAGATGACGCTGATGACGTCGAACGTGGATAAGGAGGCAGGAGGGATTTTGAAGGAACCGATTGTGGCGTCCATCAGCATGCCTTGCTCGACGAACATGGTGGACATCTGAGCATAGACTGCAGAGAACACGATCACCGTGGCCCAGATGGGGAACATACGGATCAGGATTTTGAGTTCCTCCACCTGAGTCACCGTGCAGAGCCTCCATGAGTTTGAGAAGTCTGAGCTTTTCAGCTCGACGTCTGATACTACGCAAGCTTTATCAAGGCATCTGCAGAACACAAAGGAAGATTTCCCTGTTACTGCAATTCAAACTAATAAATCTAATCAACTAAACGAAGTGTGAATAGGTGAGCAAAAATGGGAATCGACTTACTTCAGTTCATCAGTATGCTCCAGCTTACGGCTGCCTTCGACACTAGAGATTGCGTCTTGCGTTTCGTACAAGAGGGTGGAGTCAGAAGGCACCTCTAGGTTCCACTTATGAAAAGATGCGACCAAGACCTGGCACATTCTCGTAAGAGGGCTTCCCCCTGGTCTCTGGAACCTATAGAGTGGAGTGCCAGCAAAGAAACTTGCTATGGCAATTCCCATAAATATGGCAGGCACACCAAACCCTAGAGCCCACCCAACATTATCTTGAATGTAGACGATCAAACTGCTCGAAATGAGAGCACCGATGTTGATCGAGAAATAGAACCAGTTGAAGAAGGAACCCTTATTCACCCTCTCTCTGGGATCAGTATCGTCAAACTGATCAGCCCCAAACGACGAAACACAAGGTTTGATGCCACCTGTCCCGAGTGCAATCAGGTATAGACCAAAGAAGAATACAGCATACTGTGGTGGAGTTGCTGGAGGACAGAGTGAACCAACACATTCAGAAGGCTTCAAAAATGGAACTGATGCTGATAGAGTCAAGGTGCACATTCCCTGGTGTAGATTGAAAATTCAAAAGCCATTTATCAATCTTTCAATTGAGACTGACCAGCTGAAGCCGAATCATGCTTGACTAAAGCTAGTCAATAGACCAACATCTCAACAACAAATTCATTTCCTTACACTAATCATAAATTTATGACCAAAGAACATTAAGAGACCAGGGAGTAATCTACAATGAAAATGGAGGCTGTTTCGCACATGAACACAGGAACTACAGCTCCAAGCTATGCTAATCCAATGACCTAGAAATAACTATAGCATCTATTTGACGACTAGTTCAAAAGGTCCAATTTTGGAATGCAAAATAGTTAGTGTCTGATTGAGGGTTGTGAACAACAAGATAACAAGCATTAATACTAGCAACTCCGAAAAGGGAGACAAACGAAAGCAGCAAGTTCCACGAAGACTCACAATGAAGTAAATTGTTGAGAAAGCAGCAATTGTCCAATATCTCCCCCAGTATGCATCTGCCAGAATAGCTCCAATGAGTGGCGTGATGTAGCAGGTACCGGACCAGGTAGTAACAGTTCTTGCAGCCGATACATTCCCCAGATGCATATTCGTCGTAAGATACGTTACCAGATTCGTAGAAATCCCGTAGTAGGCCAACCGTTCACAACACTCCGTCCCTGCAAAATTATTGCTTTGAGATGACAAGAAGGAAGCATAGAATACTACCACAAACAAAATTGGACGACTGCTTAGTGCTTACCCAATATGAAAGGACATGCTTTCCAATTCCCAGTGTTCTGCTTCAGAACAGGCCTTCCCTTGATGTCCACCGAGCCATCTCCGGTGTGCTCTCCGCTACGGTCACCCTGGATAACGCAAAAATGAAACGCAGTTCTCAACTTCTCATTACCTAATTGGTAAAACCTAGTTGGCCTAATTCTAAACAATCTGCGGAGACTCGGCCGGACGAAGAATCGGAATCTTGCAGTTGCTACGTCGAATTGAATCGCTTCTGGATTTTTTAGGAAGTACCTGATTGTGGCCCGACGATGGACCGTGCTCGAGAAGCGAGGCCTGCTCTTCCGAAGAAGCCATAGATCTCCGCGTCTTCTATTCTTTTCTCCGATGAGGAATCCGTCGCCGATTCCGATTGGGAGGAAACAAAAACTACGTCGGAGATTGAGACGCGAGTGGCGATAGGAATATAGGTGGAGGCGGTGACTGAGAGTGGAGATGAGATGGGAGGAAATGAGGAATATTCAGATGGCGTGTTAGTGTTGAAAGTCGTGCCGTAATACGCAGTACAAACAAACAGACCGCTGCCATTTTATATTATTTATTTTTTATATCATATGCGCCTGTTTTGCTTAGGGATGGCAAAAATATCCGTAACCGTGGATATCCATCCGAATCCGACATAATCGGGTAGGGTAAAACCCGAACCCGAAGGACTTTTAGTGGGTACGGGTAAAACCCGAACCCGAATATTGCGGGTAATGGGTGGGCATGGTTTTCTCACTATCCAACCCGAACTCGCCCGATTATACACATGCATATGTATTTTGTCTAGAAATAATCAATATTTTTCTCTAACATACTTTATATTTAGCATATAAATATCATTTTTTTATGAAATTGTGTTGTTTTAATTAATTTTCTTCATTTTAGTGAATTATTGTCATACTTTTCGTCTTACGTAACGTGAGAATATGTGTAAATATTAACGTATTGGTTGGAGTTATAAAGAAAAAATATTATCCATGGATAACCGTGGATACCCGAAACCCGAACGGGTATGGGCATGGTTTGGATTTCCTACCCGTTTCTTATGTGGGTATGGGCATGGGTAAAACCCGAACTACTTTGGGTAGGGTAACGGATATGCACTATCCGTCCCCGACCCGACCCATTGCCATCCCTAGTTTTGCTTCTACTTTCTGCCTTCTCTGCCCATATATTCTTAATACTTTAGTTTGGCCCGAACTATACACATACTTAATACTTTCTATTTTGACTCGTGGTATTGAAAAAAGCTACTATACCTGAACTATGTAGCAAACTTTCTCATTTGGCCTGGAGGCGGGTTTGACCATCAAATTATACGGTCAAACCTGTTGACCGTTAGTCAATGAACACCTTACCTGCCACGTCAGCTTTGAGGACATAAAAAATTAAAAAAAAATTAATTTTGTTTTCTTTCAATTAATAAAATTAATAATTCTTATTACAAAAAAAATTAATAGCGAAAAAAATTAATTAAAAGAACGAAGAAAAAAAAACTAAAAAAGCCAAAATTATCCCAGCCTTCCACTTCCCTTATCATCCCGCATCGCCTTTTTGGGAAATAATTCCCTCCTCCCTTTCAGACACATCGTCTTCCCCGAACTCCCTTCCCCCGATGAATTCCTCTTTGATTCTCCGGCAAATGCAGCGGCGGCCGGTCGGTTAAAGACGTCGCCGTCGCTGATTGTTGGAATCCTCCTTCCCCGACTCCTCCTTCTCCCTTCTCCTTCGATTCGCCTTCTCTTTTTTCGTCCTTTTAATTAATTTTTTAGAGTTATTATTCGCCTTCTCTTTTTTGGCATGACATTGGTCATTGGAATCCATTAGAACAATATGCTGCTGCTCGGTTTGGACTAAAGTGAGAAGAAAGGTGGCGAAAAAGGTAAGTTTTATTTTTATTTTTATTTTTTAATAGTTGTAAAATGAGGTGGAAATTGTAAATATTTAAATTTTTTTATTGGCCACGTCACTTATTTAACGGTCAACTATAATAGTTGACTGCCACATCAGCAAAAACTAACGGAGACTAATGGAGAGTGACCAAACTTGAACTATTGAACTAATTTTAGTGACCATGAATAGAATTAAAGATTTGCAGTGACCAAACATGAAAAGTTTTAGTAAACCGAGTGACCATCCTTACAATTCCATAACTTTGGCGGTAGTGGTCGGAGGAACGGCAACAGGGCCAGCAGAGGGAGTTTTGGAAGCGCAAAGTTCCAGAACTTTGGTCGTGGTGGTCGAGGGAGCGACAACGGGGACAGCAGAGGGAGTTTTGGAAAGTCGCAACGCGGCACAGAAGAAGGAGCTTAGTGCTTGAGCTTTGGCCATTTAGGAAGAAAGTAACGACAGTGCTATTGGACCGGAAAAGAATTTGAGGCTTCAAGTCGATGGGCGCCTGCCCTCTCAACAGCGGCAAGGAAGAAGGGGAAGGTGTTGATTTTTCTTCAATTTAGGGATTTAATCTTGGTGGGTAGTTGGATTGGTGGGTCGGGTCCAGTGGCGTAGCCAGGATTTTATGTAAGGTGGGTCCGAATTTTTTTTAATATCCAGGTGGTTCATTGAAAATTTTCTTTCAAAACTTGCAGTGTAGCCTTAGTTTGAATCTAAAACCTGATTTATTGAATTCATTATTAGGATAAAAAGGATCTAGTGAGTTTCAACAAAATGAAACTTTGGCGATAGATAATGGATACATTAAGAATTTGAAGTTTGGAGGATGAAGTTATATTTTATGCTAATATTATTTATGTAGAAACTAAAATGTATTATATATAATGATGATAGCTAAATTCATGATATAATTATTGTTTGATGGTAGAATATTGATCAATATTGATGAATTTTAGGTGAAAAAACTCATTGTCACTTAATTATTGTATTAAAGAGTGAAAAACCGTAGCGTACTAGTGGTTCGATAAGAAAAATCTCATGCTGGAAGCGAAATTGATAGAAGATATTAATGATATGAAATGGTTGAACCATGATTAAACCACATTTTCAGCATAAAATATCCTACCGTTGACTTGTCCAATACAACCTTCTACCACTATTAACCTAGACGTACATATTTTCTCACGAGCCAAGGTGGGTCCCGGGACCCACCTTGATATGCACTACCTCCGCCACTGGTCGGGTCGGATTTGGTTTGGTTAGAGGGTTGGGTAGGTTTAGATGAGCTGGCGGGTCGGGTCAAAAATAAATAGTGTTGTTTTTGGGAAAGAATTGAATGCTTATTCATTGTGAATCTTTTTTTTTTTTTTTTTTACAAGAAGTTGCTTATATTGCACTTCAAAAGTGAGTACAAAGTTAAGGGTAAAACCCATGGAAAGATACAGCAGAAATCAAAAGGGAAAACAAAGCCCACAAACAAAGCCCTAGCAAATGTTTCAAAAAGAAACAACAAATGAAGCCCAAACCCCAGAGCCTGCAAAGTGAGCCCAATAAACCCTACTGACAACTACCAACATCAACCCTAGCCATCATCTCTTCTCCAACCTGCCGCCGCCAACCATACGAACAGAGCCGCCGAAAAACCAACGTCGACCACCAGCTCGCCGTGCAACGATCGGACCAACACCACAACGGGAGAACAGCAGTCCGCGAGGAGCCCGGAGACCAAGAAAACGGCAACGAACAGGCTTGGAGAAAAGAGACGAGCTTCAGGCCGATGCATCCCTGCCTTCAACATCTTAGAACCGCATCCAGGCCGCTGCATATGAGAAGGCCTTTGCATCTCCGAAACACCGGCTCAATGGGTGAAGCAAGGAGGTAGATGAAAGGTAATAAGATGCGAAGACAAGCTACCGATCAGAGATCTATAGCCCCCTTTGACCACCGAGAGAAAGAACCAAAACATCTAAATCTGAGGATCAGAAGTAGAGTCTGGAACAGGAGACATCCATCTCACAAGGAGTGGCAGAATGAAAATCCCAAAGATGGGCATGAAGGTGAAACGGAGATCTGGACAAGGAACAAACGAAACATGCACTGAGAATAAAACTGGAACCAAAACAAAATAAAAAGCTGGAAAGAAAAAAAGGGTTGGGGGGCCACCGTCGGTCCCAAAGGGAAGCCGCCGGCAGCCCCATGGAGCTTGAATCTGAAGCCTAACTTAGAGAGAAGGCAGAGAAAAGGAAAGTTAGAGAGAGAATTTGTTTATCGCATCGAATTTTTCATTCATTGTGAATCTGTGATGGGTGAAGATTGAAGAGTTTTTTTGGGAAAGAGGAGAAAAGGAAGCACGCACTGGTAGCTAGGCAGAGCAAAGATCGGGCATTTTCAAACTTTATTTTTTAATATGATTTTATGGGCTGAGGCCCAAAATTTTTGCAGGCTCTATGCTGTGGCCTGTGGGTTTGACATGTACAGGGTCTGGGTCGGGCTCGAACAACAGGGCCTCTATTTTAGCATTTCAGGTGAAATTGTTTATAATTTAGGAGTCCTGTTTAAAAACGATAAAGTCGTAACTATGTTAATTAGGTGATTATATCTCACAAATAACTCTCGGGCCAATTACCAGCAGGGTCGCATAAACTGAACACAGATGGTGCAGCTCAAAGCAAACTTGGAATGGTTACAGTAGGTGGAGTGCTTCGAGACCACGACGGAGAATGGATTGGAGGATTTTGTAGCAAGCTTGGCTCTGGTACAGCCCTTCTTACTGAGCTCTGGGGCATTCTGCAGGGCCTGAAACTTGCTTAGAAAAGGGGTTCTCAATTTCTAATTCTCGAAACTGATTCAAAGTTGGCTCTACAACTCATTGAGAAGAGGAATGGCAGAGTTCATCCCTATGAAACGATCCTTGCAACTATAAAACGACTTTTGGCTAAAGAATGAGTTGTTCGATTAGTTCATACGTATCGCGAAGGGAACTGGATCTTAAAACACAGTCTGGTCTATCCCTTCGATATGCATGAGCTAATTGATCTCCCATCGGAGATTGATCAAATTTGCCGTGAAGACTCCTAATTTGGTTCCCCTGCCCTTTTGTTATTCTATTTTGGGTTGTTTTCGATCTTTGATGGTTCCTGTACCTAGCTGTTAGGAATCTATAATCCTTGGTAGCTTTTGCCTCCCTCTAATCAGAAAAATATCTCACAAATAACTCGAGCAAGGTTTATTATTCACATTTATTGAATGATTAAGTAGTTTTCTAATTCGAATTTAATAATTTCCAACACAAACTCAATTGAAAGGATCGATCGTTAGCTTGCTAACGATGAGGTATAGTAGTAAAATCATAGTCGCAGTCATTTTTTGTAGTTGGATGACTACAACTTCGTTGCAACCGTAGTTATAGCCTCTCTTTTTTTTTACAAATATATGACCACAACTCTAACACGAACTACAACAATTAGTATGATGCTAACTGATCTATAAAATTAGCATAGTATCTGATCCCACTTAAAGACATTTTCCACCCACTTCTTTTCATTTCTAGATTGCATACGATCGACACTACTACTCTTAAAATTCGCTATGTTGGTAGAGCGAATAGCAGAGTAGCTCATTCATGCTCTAGATTTGTCGCACCGGCTATTAGTAAGGTTCGAATTGGGAGAAGGATTGACATGTGGATCGTGTCTAAGTGAGATGATGGAGAAGGAAACACAAGAGTGGCCACTTATGACTTACCTAGAGAAGACCGTCACCTCTGGGAAAATGGAAGGTCAAGCAATAATAGCAATCCAGATTTTGCTGTAAGAAAAACCTGCAAAGAGCTAATAATTTATTCCCTTACAATATAAAATTGAGACATCAATGAAATGCTATATATGCTCAGTCTATCAGGCTCGTAGGCTTCTGTTGCTTAGGATAATAATGTCAAGGAAAAGGGACCAGCATTTGCATGCAGTTTTCGTGGCTTCCAAGCGGTACCATCTTTCGCCAAACGTCCTTAAAACTCTCTATTTTCGCTTTCCTTTACCATAATTTTCATCCTCCGCAATGAAGAGGAAGGAAAAGTGAATGCCACCTACAATTTTACCTATAGCTACCAATTTCATAAATGGACAATGGCCCCCCAGTCCCCCACATATCATTATTAACCCCAGGGGCACTGTTTTAGCATTGCAGGTGAAATTGTTTATAATTTAGAAGTCTTTTTCAAAAGTTTAAGCCGTTAACATAACACAATCTAGCTCAAAAGTTTAAGTCTTGTTAATACCAACACGAACTACCACAATTAGTATGATGCTAACTGATCTATAAAATTAGCATAGTGTCCGATCCCACTTAAAGACATTCTCCACCCACTTGTTTTTATTTCTAGTATGTTGCATAACATCTAGGGGTGGGCATGCTGGTGGTTAATCCGTGGATTGATATCGATACATCCGCAAATAACCCAACCCGCAAGCAGTTGGTGATTGATGTGGGTGGATTGCGGATTGATAAATCTCTCATCGGCACTTATGTGGGTCGGTGGATTGCGGGTCACCCGAATTACCCGCATTCTATTTTCACATGATTTTTTTTTTACTCTTATAGTATCAAATATTTATCATATTTCCGAACTGTACTACAGTCTGACCATATACTTCTAAATCTAGTTAGAAAATTGCTTTTGCGGGTTAACCCACGACCCAACCGCACTCATCCAACACCCACCTAACCCGACCCAAAAAAAATGTGGGTGGATTGCGGGTCACAATTATTCCAACTCGCTATTAAGCGGATGGATCAAGTTAAAACGAAAACCCACCCAACCCGCCCATTGCACACCACTATATTGTTGTCGCTAGCTAGTACCACGAGATTAATGCTTCTTTGTTTCTTCTCTAGCTACTTATTCTACACTTCTCTATAATCCACTACACTCTCTCTCTCTCCCTCCCTCCCCAAAATGCCTTATATAATCCAAGCAACCCCTCAATTAGTGCACAGCCTATAGCTCTCATTCTTCCAAAACAGAAAACCCCCAAAAACCCAAACAAACTCTTCCTTTGCATATGGAGAAGAAAGCAACAACATTAATCCAAGTCCCGGCAGTGGAGCTGGCGGTGACGGGTTCTTCTCCGCCGGCCAAGATCAAGATGCCGTCGATCGGGATGGGGACGGCGTGCGCCGCCCCGCTGCCACCGTCGGACGTCCTGGTGGCGTCGTTCCTCGACGCCGTGGAGGCCGGGTACCGCCACTTCGACACGGCGGCGCTGTACGGGACGGAGGAGAGCCTGGGGAGGGCCGTGGCGGAAGCCGTCGAGAAAGGGATCGTCAAGAGCCGCGACGAGTTTTTCATCACGTCCAAAGTTTGGTGTACCGATCTGCATCCCGATTCCGTCGTCCCCGCGCTGGAAAACACACTACGGTAAAAATGAGTAAATATTAAAAAATAAATCCCGTCGCTAATTATAAGAGGCTTTTTTTAACCACCGCAATTTGATGGTCGTAACTAACTTGTGCTGTCCATCATTGGATTAATTTTGTTATGCATCATTATTCATAAAAAAAAGTAAATGAACACTCTATAATAACCGTCCCTTCTAGCAGCGTACTATAGCTGGCTAAATAGGAAATGACAAATTCCGACTCGTTTTACTCTTTTTTGTTTGACCTGTGGGGCGGATAAGACTGTAGGCGAGACGGTGCAGGTATGGGTACTCTACTCGATCTGGTCTGTCTTGTTCTTGATATAATGTGGCTAATAAATATATAATTTTACTTTTATTATCTCATATTTTGGCTGCAATAAAGTTGTAAATAATTGACAATCTCAATTTGTCGAATAATGTAACCACATTTATCATATTATAGTTTGAATCTTGATTTTTTAATGAAAAGTTCTAAGGTTATCCTTTCGAATTACATAGTTATATGAGTCGATCTGCCCCAATCTATCACTCATAATAAATTATTATTTTTATTCGATGGGCGAATATGAATATTGAAAAATTCGCCCTATTGTCATTCGCGAACCAAGGATACCACTGGAATCATCATCCCATTTCTAGTGTTATTGTCTCTTACATTACTATGATTAATTAGTGTGGTTTGGTGATTGACTTTGGATGATGATTGGGTGGTGTTAATTGATAATTGATCTACACTAGGAGGTTGGGAATGGAGTACGTGGACCTGTATCTGGTCCACTGGCCAGTGAGCCTGAAAAAGGAAGCTGCCCCACTAGGGTTTGCCAAAGAAGACATAGTCGAGTTCGACATGAAAGGGACGTGGGGCGCCATGGAACAGTGCTTCAGACGTGGGCTCTGCAAATCCATTGGTGTCAGCAACTTCGGCCCCGCCAAACTTGGCCAATTGCTTCGCCATGCAACCGTCCCGCCTGCTGTTAATCAGGTCTGCCCGGTCTTAATCACACTTACCAACAACAACAAAAACCATTAATTAAATATATAAATTGAGCAGTAAGAAAAAGAAAGGTCTCTTAATGGTTTGTCTTGATTTGACTTCTTGGCAGATAGAAATGAACGCAGGGTGGCAGCAGAAGGAGCTGGTGAAGCTGTGCAAAGAGAAAGGGGTTCTGGTGTGCGCCTGGTCGCCGTTGGGAGCAAACGGCGCCGCTTGGGGGTCTTTCTCCGTCATGCACAGCTCCGTCCTCAAGGAAATTGCCGACGCCAAAGGCAAGTCCGTCGCTCAGGTAACAAACTAAAGATTATAAATAATTTGCACTGCCCACAACTTAATTAAAAACTTGCTCTGGTTTTATCGTTACCTACAAACATGATCATGCTTAAAAACCTGCAGGTAGCGTTGAGATGGATATACCAGCAAGGTGCGATTCCAATAGTGAAGAGCTTCAACAAGGAAAGGATGAGGCAGAACCTGGACATCTTCGACTGGGAACTGACACCAGACGAGGTTTCAAGAATCGAGCAGCAGATTCCACAGCAGCGTGGCTTCTCTGGGGAGATGTTCGTCTCTGAGACTGGGCCTTACAAGTCTGTCGACGAGCTTTGGGATCAACCTTTCAGTCTACCATCATAATGAAAGGACAACAGTCATACCCATCTTGGCATTCGAAATTTAGCATCGGGATCACGTACCAGGGAATTGTCACGAACTATTTGGCCTCTGTAGCTAGTGTTTTGTTACTCTCTTTCTCTGTCAGGGATTATGGATTCCTGCAGAAGAGAAACATCGATTTAAGTGGCGTAACAGAGAAGAGTACACGCCTTCATCACATCATTGCATCAAACATGCAGGGTGGCTAAGGACATTATTTGACCCTTAATCTGCAAATGAGATGTCTGATAATCTATCAGTCAGCCATGAACCAGACGTGAACAAATCTTGGGCTGAGTAGTAATTGTCAAAGACTATGGCTCGGAAGACATCACAAGTGTTATAAATAAAACATCTACTAATTGTCTAATTCAAAGAGAGATTTTAATAACATGAAAGGGGATCATCGTGAATTTTGTGGATAGGCAGAGCATGTTGATTCCTACAGCCATCTGAGCAAAGCATAGCTGGTTTTACAGTCGGACAATTCCCGTCCCTTACACATGCTGCAGCATGTCACCCTGAAAAGGAAGAACAGTAGCAAGTTTTGAATTTGAGCTAAGACCATTATACTCCTTTGTTTCTGGCATCCATACAAGCTTTTCATCTTAGGTGGCTTTAATCCAATGAAGTGATGAATCCTAAATTTAGCAGCTTTATCAATCTCCCTCAACCCGAAATTTAGCAGCTGAATCCAAAAGTGAATTAGCATAGAAGAAAGCTAGTCAATACGTCACAAGGAGATCGCCGATGCCAAATCCAAGTCCGTCACTCAGGTAATTGCAATTGCACCGCCTACAATTTAATTAATAATTAAGCATTAACTACAGAGATAATCATGCTTAAAAACCAGGTAGCATTGAAGTGGATATACTAGCAAGGGGCGAGTAAATAAACAGCTTCAACAAGAATAGAATGAGGCAAAATCTGGACATCTTCAACTGGGAACTAACCCAAGACGAGGTTTCAAAGATCGAGCAGCAGATCCCACAGCAGTGTGGCTCCTCTGCGAGGAGTTCGTCTCCAAGACTGGGCCTTACAAGTCTGCCAACGAGATTTGTGATCAACCTTTCAATCTCTTGCCGCAATGACAGGACGACCATTAACAGTCAATCCATCTCTGGATTGGATTTTTAGAATCGATATTACGTATCAGAATATATATTCTTACAAGTATTTGGCCTGTGTAGCTAGTGTTACTCTCTTCTTCTAGCAGGGAGTATGACTCCTGCAGAAGAAAAACAACAAGTGACCTAACAGAGAAGGGTTCGACTTTATTTATTTTCAACAAATAGGATGCGTAAGCACATTGTTGGATTATCTTGCAAAATGAGAAGTCTTATAATCTATCAGCAAGAAGCCAGATGTGAAGAAATTATGCACAGCATTATTGTCAAAGACTATGGTTCTAGCCATATGAAGCATTATTAACGGCCTCTACTGATTCCAAGAGATGTTTTAAGAACAGGAAAGGTAAAAATCACCTATCAAGTTACCTTGTGAATCTTCAGGATATGCAGTGGCACTGGCAGTTGATTCTTGCAGCCATCTGACAGAAGCAAGGCTGGCTTTCAAGTCAGATTATTACAATCTCTTACCCGCGCTGCAGCCACCCACACTGATATAGATGAACAGGAGCAATCCATGAGTGAAGGTCATCTTTATAGAAAATAATGTAAAGAAGATTACTGATTCCGTACAAGCCAGAAGCCTAAATGTATAGCAAGTTTTGAATTTGAGCTAATACCAGCATGCTCCTTTTTTCTGGCAGCCATACCAGTTGATCTTAGGTGGCTTTAATCCAATCAAGTGATTAAAATGTTTAATTCCATGAACCCAAATCAACCAACTGAAGTGATATTCGTCCAAGATGATAAAAATCCTGCAAGTGTTGCTTACACAAACCAATGCGCCTTTTGTTTAAACTGGGATGAATACAAGTTGAAAACCCAGTCTTCCATCCAGGAACTTCTGCCGCTGCATCACATGTACAGTATAAACAGATGGTGCTGGAGCTGAGCACTCCATAACAAAACAGTCACACGGCCTTCGCTCACTCACCATTCTTGTTAATGATAACAAACATGAGCCACTATATGAAGCTCCATATGTCATGGCTCCAGCATCATCATCACACAGTTTTTTCACTTACAATGAATCAAACCCTATGTCATCACCTAGCTTATCCACAGTTGACGAAAACTTGCTCAGTTCAGCATCAAATCGTTTCTCAATGTCATCCTCATGGATTCTATACTTTGCACCTAGGGTACCTGTGCAAGATTTCCTCAGCTGATCTCGAAATGGCCTCAACTTCGGAGAAGTTATCACAGTAGCTATACCACCTAAGCCAACGGCTGATTATGCCAATGAATGATTTGGATGTCATCCTGTAATAACAGTGAGCGCGCTGCACAAGGGTGTCCTCTAAAAGTGGCTAATCCATATCGGAACAAACGTTTTTTAATGGCATAAACAGGTGCAATGATTTTTGTAACAGTTTCAGCAGGAGGGTGATTAGAACATGGAAGAAGAGCAAGCGTTGTAGCTGTCTCGGAATGAACATAACTTTCTGCACACTTCCAAGTAGGAATCCCTGAGGTCATTTGGGAGGGCAGGTTCCACAATGCCAGAAATGATGAGCTGCTCACTTCGTACGATTTTAGCATCAAGGTTTTGTACCCATATCTTGACTAGAAGCTTGTACCAATGATCGGTTTCGATCCCAGGTTTGCGAAAGGATGAAATTTGGCTTAAGAGAGACTTCGGGTCGGATAAATGCTTAATCTCTGACTCTTTGACCTCTCTCAAACCATGGCCTAGCCATTTTTTTCCAATTCCAACTACGCCTCTCTCCCATGCCTCCTGTTTCTATGATGTAAATAACTTCACTTTCTCCTTCAACTTGTGAACAGCCTTTACAGCAGGAGTCTCCTTAATCTCTCTTCTAACCAAAGTACCCAGAAACTGATGCCTTGACTGTCGGTACTAGATAATATCTGTGTATCACTACTAGCAAGTAGCATCTAAGTGCAAACAGCTACGCAAGTAATCTATAACCTCAGATTTGAAATCAGCAACATCTTTGGGTCCTGAAACTGCAAAAAGTAATTGATCCATGACCCGACAACAAAAGATTCTTGGACCAGACTCCTCATTCCTATTATCGCTGCATTTCATCTGCCTCTTAAAAGAAGTCCGCAGATTAGAACGTGACACTTCTTCACGTAATGGACCACCTGGAATTAGAGCTTCATATTTCACCGACAGCCTGTAGAATTCTCGGTCAGAGAGATCAAGATATATGTTCGTCAATATAGGAGACAACACACCTTCTTGTGGGAGACCATGCCCTTTGGGGAAACCACCAAACATCTCTGAATCGCCTCGAACAAGCAGGTATCTTTAATTGCTTCCTCCCTAACTGATATAAGCTTGGCAAAAACATAAGCACCCAACTTCTAACTTAAGATCACTGAAAAGTGAAAACCACCAATCTGGATTCCTGAACTCTTTCTTGATGTACTTTGAAGCAGTAGAGTGGCTTCTCTCACTCCTACAACCATGCGATATCTTAGAGAAATGAGGCCTGTATACAACTTCCAACACCAACCTGATAGCCTCCTGAACAACTGACAACTTCAGGTTAGATAAGACAAGTACTTCTTTCACCTCCCCCTTGTCGAGATCGAAAATGTATTCTCCACAATACTAAAAGTCCCACTCAAGAGCTCATCCGCCATGGATTGGAACGAGATGTTATGATCGCTTGACGCGATATCGATGTCCAAGTTGAGCCTAATGCAATAGTAAGCACCCTCAAGACTTTCTGGGTTTGCAATGACATTCGTCATTAAATTCTCAAACTTCCCATTAACATAATGCTCTTTCACTCTGTTCTTCACTTGGATTTCAAGGTATATCTTTAACTGTTATCCAACATTATGGTGCCTTATCGTCATCAAGGTTGGGAGTCTCCTGAACGAGGTTAGCCAATGTCATAATAGTCAAGCCCTTATGGACACAACCAGGAGCAGCTGAGAGAGAAGACCAACCCGCGAAACCTGGCAATCTTTCCACGGATTCTCCTGCAGCAAAAGCTAAGAACCGAATATTATAGCTCTCAATGTCATCAATGGTTCAAGGAATTGCACACCTAGTCGGACCATAAAGCTATCTTGTAAATCGTAATGAATCACAAATTCAGGTAAAAGGGATGTGATGAAACTCACCTTTACCGTCCAGCAATGGACCCTCGGCTGGCATTGATACTTTGAGGCAGAAAACGCCGAAAGGAGTTGCGCCTGCACACTATCGGCAGCCAGGTCACAATGGCCATTTTAGCGGAGCTCCAAACAAAGCGCCGATACCAACGTAACACAGAAGCTCAGAACCACTAAATCGAGCATGAGGAAGAAGAAAGACGGGCGGACTGAGACAAACGATGATCATCTTCACTGCGGCATTTCACCGAACAGGTTGCCTACAATGGAACGGAACTCGTTGAGGCGCGTACAGGATCTCTCTTTCTTTTCCCACCCTTTTTGCCGCAGAAAGTGAAGCGGGTCGAAGCTGTGCTGACATGGAATATCCAACTTGCACAAAAATGTTAAAATTGTTGAGGCGGAATTCTGCCACAAAAATGGTTCAATTACACTAGCCAACTAGCCATCACTGAACTTATTTGGCTAGTGTAATTGAACCATATTTGTAGACACACATCTATCTACAAATATATTATAGCAGAATTGAGGTCAGTTTTTCAGCATTTCGAATTTTCTGCAACGAGACCGTAGGTAGGAAGGGTAATTATGTCTTCACAATCATTATGTATTTTTCATTCATGAAGAAAAAAAACATCAATCTCGGGATTTAAACCCTAATCTTTTCAAACAAAAAGACAACAATCATTACCAATTACACTAAAGAAACGTTTTGGATCTTTTTAAATACAAAATCTGAAAAGCTAAAATCTGAAAATTATATGACTTTTCCGCTATTGCCTATGTTTGGCCCAGCTTTTAGAAGTGCTTTTCGGCTTCAAAAGCTGAAGCAGGGCCAAACACCTCGAAAGTACTTTCTTTGTTATTTGATATTTTAATTTTTATATTTTTATTATTTTAATTTGAGTTTAATAGTAAATTTAATTTATGTCCTCTTATAAATGGGGAATAATTTTAAAATTGCAACCCAAATATCATTTATTCGAATATTTCATATTGAATTGCAATATTAAATGTGTAGTTGTGATGTATAATTCTTAAATTGGTATATATTTTTAGAACTATTAAAGCAACGATATTTTTATGCAAACTGTAAGTGACCCGTTTATTGAAAGTTTTGGTTTGGTTAATCGTTGAATCCTAAATTTCTTTATAATATGGCATTCTTGGAAAAATGGGTGAATTTATAAGAACACAATTTATGAATAACAATTTTTATAGATGATTTCAATAGGTTAATTGACTAGACGTATCATTCATAGTTACTTAGTTTAATATGAAATAACACAGTACAAGACAAATCATAAAAGTCAGGCTGGAGTTTTCATGGACACGTTGACGGGGTCATGTGCATTAGCAAGGTAGGTACCACAAGATATATTTAATGTTTTTGTTGAGTGAATAAGATTGTCCTTCAACTAAATTTAGAGTATATTTATTGATAAATAATTTTTTCATTGCAAAGAGTATGGATGGAGAATGTTATTTTCTTACTAATTTTGTTATTATATTGTATATAATACTTTAAGGTTTATATATTGCTATACATGTATTGTTTCATATTTTGATTATTTTAGCTGTAGTTTAATAATTAATTTAAATTTATATCTATCTTATAAATATATGGTAACCCTAAAATTGCAGCCCAAATATCGCTGGTTCGAATATTGATTATCGAATTGCAATATTAAATATGTAGAAGCTATGTATACTTCTTAAATTAGTATTAGTTTTCAGAAATGCTATGAAACAATCATATCTTTGTGCAAACTATATGGGAATGGTTCTTTTAACGGGTTAACCGCTACATTTTAAACATCTTCTAATCTGGCATGATTGGATCCAACGATCATTATACGAGATTGAATTAAATAGGGTGGCTCATTTCATCACTTTTTGGCGTGTTAATAAATTTTTAGCACAATGACATGTCTACATCTACACTCATCACAACCTACACATAATATAAAGGTGAAATAAGAAATGAGGGATCCCATTTCAAATTTCCTGCATCCAGCCCAATTGTTTGAGGGGTAAATTTAGAAGGCTCTAGTGCGGCCTGTCTTTTGAGCACGAAAGTAAAAACATGTTTTGATTTAAACGAACCCAATATGTTATTTGACCCACTAATCGTGCACCCATCGCAGCCTCGCTAAACTTCCCATTCTACTCGCCGAGTCATCTCCTCCCCCACGAACCTACTCTCCTCCTGTACCCAAAGTTCCAACTAAACCATATTCTCTATAACCTAGGACAGAGATTCTAACTGGAATGCGTAGAGGGAGCAACCAACGAATTGTAGCTACCCCCACTATTCTGGTAGCTAATCAAGAAGACCCTGTTTGTTCAGCTGTATGGTGATTCATTTAATTAACACACTCCACTTCATTGACAACCTCCTCTCCTCAATTCTATTGTGTTCACAAAGATCTGAAGGCAGCAAGTGCAACAGGTGTAGGGGTAATCGATATGAAAAGAGCATTGTCCGAATTGAATTGAGTCGTTCTACTTAGAACATGAAGATTTTTGCTTAATTGCTTTGGTTCGTGATGCGCTTATGTTTGAAGGTAGACCAACACAAACAACAGTACAGCTCCAGAGCTATTCTGCACATCAGGTAGTTGGGCATTAATTGATAATTATTTGGGACAATGAGTTCGTTATGAGTCTTATGACAAGGTTTATTTGAATGAAGACAAAGTTATATTTTTTTACCATTCTCACCACTTTATCCTTTAGCACAGGTTGCTATCTAGAGTGTGCATCCCTCTTCCCAATCTATGACCACCCATGGATCCACCTAGGCCATCACTACACGGAAGTATTGACAACATTGATGTTGATGTTGTTATTGTCAAAGATTGTATGTGTTTGTCACATCTTCCAATCAATCCAAACGAAAACAAGATGTAGTAGCACTATCGCTCCATAGCGTTCCTCAGTTTTATTGTCATTCTGCTTTTTCTTGCGAATGCTCACTATGGTGGGAAGATAAAACAAACCAGAATGACATAGATAGTATTCTTTCTTCATTTTAAGTGTGTTTCATGCCTATATTTTGCAAACATGCTACATTTGGATTCTCACCAACATTTTAGTCTTCATCTCAATTTGAATAATTAAATTTGTATTTCTTTTGACTTCCGAATTTAATATTTCTTCTAATTTCTTTTGCAACTATAAGGGGTTTGCCTACTCCTAGAAATCTCTTATCCAATTCGAATTGAAGTGTTGTCCTCGCCTGTCTGGTAGATACAATGAATACTTGATCGATGTTTAGTTTAATTAACTCGAAGTAGGTCTCATTTCGGCACTCTTCTTTGATATCCTAAACACCAAAACAAATTCACGTCACTTATTCCCTATTCCATTACAAACTAATGACAAGTGACTAATGAGATGCTACCCTCATACTATACATGAGCCAATAACATTATTATGTTCATACCAATAATTCAATATTCGGCTCAACTACCTCCGACCGACGGGTCGGGTTATAAGCTAGTAACAACTAACAAGGCAAGCCACTAATGTTTAAAATAATTCTTAACATAGTGGTATTTGGTGTTTTTTTCCTCGCAGATAAAAAATAGACGCGATGAGATACATTTAGAGAACGTGATGAGAGTACATTTTTTTAGTTGGTGGTTGGCCTCAAGGATCGAACTTATGGTGTGATGAATGTTCTCGTCTCTATATTACCACTAAGTCAACCCCATGAGAGCACTTTTCTCCTTTTGCTTGTTATTTTATTTTTTTAGGTGTAAAACATTATTCTTTCAACAAAGCTTGTAATAAAATACCCTTATTTTTTAATATAATGGCACCAATTTTGATATGCATCATATACATTTTTCAAGGTATTTTGATATTTGAAATGACATATACACACACCACGTGGCATATTCGTACAACATATTTGTCATATTCATACAATAGTACAATACAATCTGGAGTATTCACATTGACTAAGTTTAACAAGTGGTGTGAATATTCTTAACAACTGTTATGAATAATCTCACATAACACATTTGATGAATATTCTTAATAGTTGTCTTGCATACACAAGTTGTGTGTGTACATATGTGGCTGGTTTGACCGTCGAGTTTAGTAATGTCGCTTTTTGGACTGGCGATACAAGTATGTCGCTTGTTAGATTGACTACATTCTTCCGCCTCAACTCCCAAGTCAGCAAAAATCTAGATATATCGAAAATTTTATTTTCCTATACTACTAGATTGAGAATTAATTGTAGGGTACCAATATATTGAAATTATAAAAAAAAAATGTTTCATATTTTAAAAAGTTCAAGAAGAAATATTAATTGTGACTGAATTATTTTTGTACTCTTAAAAGTTAGAGAAAGACCAAAAAAAAAAAATTTACAGAAAAACTTATCGTTCATAATTCTTGTCTCTCGAGTGTTTAAACGCCGCAGCCAACAAATGTCCTTCCCTCACAAATATGGTGTGTTTCGTTGGTGAAATCGTCTAAAATACATTAACTATCTTATAATCTATAAGATAAGGAAACTTGACTTACACTTTCAAACAAATCAAAACTTGCTTTCTCATCATCCAGGTTCATGGCATCATTCTTAAGTTGAATATTTGAAAAGCAAGCACAAATCCAATCACCAACCGGGCCCGTTAGTATAAAAATTATGAGCTCAAGAGCAAGCTGGAAAGTGGAAAAGTATTGACGTCAGGGATTGAATAAGCATTAAGCATTAAGCAAAGGGGTTGCATTCAATTTCCTTAAAAACAGGGGATTTGAGCTCATGCGGAATGAGTGGCAGGAAACTCTTGATTAATTGTCCCCTTGTCTCTTTGTGTTAATGACTTAAAAAGTGCTCTTTTATTTTTATTTGTCCCGTCCACCGATTCCGTGGTGCCGTTACGGCAAGGGTGCTCGGAGTGGTCCTGCCCGGTTCGATCTCTGGTTTGGAATGGAATGGTTCAGACAAAATTGATTGGATTTTATTTATAGATCTGGTCTGATTACAACTAGTGGTATTACAACTAAAAACCAAACCTTTATCCGCACTATCGGAGAGACTCCTGACACCTAAATATCGAATATCTATGTCATTCAAAATCAAGATAGGCTGAAATCAACCAAAGATCTCCATTAGCATCGTCGGCTAATTGCCATCACCCAACCATCACCATCATCGTCTTTGTCGTTGTCGCCGGGCGCTCAGCCATTGTGCTAATGATGACATCGAGGGGCAACGAGGTAACGAAATTGACGAGAAAACAACTGATGCATGCCCTTGTTTGATGGCATCAAGGAGGGTCGAATGGCGGTGCCAGGGGATGCGATGCTCGTGGAGCCAACAAAATCCATCATCTGTGTTTAAATTCAGTTCCTAACGATCAATCAAAGACAAATTGTTGTATATTTTTTTTCCTAATAGAGTTGTTTTGAGGATTTTATTTCAATTTCTTGTTTTTAGTAGGTAAAAAACTTTTTTCTTTGATTGTAAATCTATCTGGTTGGTTTTTTGTTTTGACAAGTACTCAAGCTTAAATCATAATGTAAAATAAGGAAATAGTAATAACGAAGGATAAAAAAATTTGGATCAACCATTAGCTGGTTCAACCGATTTGGTCTAGTGTTAGTAACCAATCAATCATGTTGATTAAGTGCAAAATATCTAAACGGTGCCGGCAGGGGTGCCCTTGTGTCATATATATAATTAAAAATTATTGAAAGTGGGTTATAAAATATATTTAACAGGCTAAAATTAAAAATGAAAAACCAGCAAACTGCCGCGTATCTTTATTCATAGACGGCAACGACAAACAAACAAAACAAAGCCATAAATAAATGTATTAATCATTATTTTTTATATCATGCATTTTTTATGAATATATATATTATGGATATTCTTTTCTTCTTTTACGGAAATTCTTGGATATATGGCGTGGCGACGGAAAAGGAAACTTTTGACTATTAGTGCTGGAAAATAAAATCGCTGGATCTAACCCTCCCTCCCTGCCCACACAATACTACGAAAACAATGCCGGCCGAGCATGCCAACAAGAGAAAGAAAAGAAGCCACTTGGAAACTTCCGTCGTCGCCGGCCACGGCGGCGACGGAACCAGCAGCAGCGGAGATGCAACAATTGATCCATTCACGAAGCTGCCGGACGAACTAGCGGTGGAGATTCTCTCCCGGCTGGGGACGATGAACCAAGTGGCGAAATGCAGCAGCCTCGTGTGCAGGCGGTGGCGGAACCTGTGGCGATCGATCGACGGCGGGGTTCTGGACTTCAGCAGCTACGACGACGACCACGATCGGCGGCCCTTGAGGAAGGGAGCCTACACCGAACCGGAACAACAGCTCCGCTTCGCGAACCGGGTGGACCAAGCGGTTAGTTCGATTCTTCTCCATCACTGCTGCAAAAATCTCGACCTGGACGCTTTCATTATAGGGTTTGATTTGTATGAATTGGAGGAGGAAGCATGGAGGTGGGTCGAATTCGGATTGGGCAAGAGGGTCAAACAGCTGAGCCTGTTGAACTTCTTCTCCTGGCATCTCCGGAACTGGGTCTCGTTGCCTCAATTGACCCCTGAGTTCCTCGGCAAGCAGGACCTCAGCCGCCTGCAGGTTCTGGAACTCGAGGGAGTGTCGAAGATCCCGCGAGGAGCATTGGATCACATCTTCTCCAATTGCTCGTCCTTGCAGCGATTGGTGCTCCGTGATTGCAGATTCTTGTGCCCCGAAGGGGAGCTGGTGATCAGGGTTTGTTGCCCTGGGAACAACCTCCAGAGCTTGACCTTGGAGTATGGAGAAACGCTGTACAATGTGACCAAGATCGAGCTCGTCTCTGCTCCGGGTCTCCAGTCGTTCCGGTTCGTTGGACGAATCAACCCCAAAGTGGTCGAATTCGTGGGCGAGCTTCCTCAACTTCGGGAGGCACGGTTTGGTGGGAGAGGGATTTGTGGACCGCCACACTACCTCCCCTGGTCTCGATCACAGTTCAGCAAGTTTGCACCTCAACTGGAGCGTCTCGAGATTGATCTCGGGATCTGTCACTTCATCCCACACCTTGCTCCTCCCCCAGAATGGCTGATGTTTGAGAACCTCACCGTGTTGGATTTGTTCATATACTCTGAGCTCTTTAGCCCGAAGAGTTTCTTGGATGCCACTGTCCTGCTGAGAGCTGCTCCGTTGCTCCACAGATTGTCCATATGGTTCATACGAGTAGCGAGACCACTAGGGCAGTGGAAGTGGCGAGACTTGGCTGCTGTATCGACGTGGAAGCATCACTCTCTCGAAGTGCTTCACCTGCACGGTGTGCATCCAGGAGAGGACAGCCACGTTGTTGGTGGCAGTGCTCGCAAAATCCAGCTCGAACTCGCTGCTTACATTATCATGAACGCGCCTTCCTTGAACCGTGTACTCATTGACACCCGCCCCCACCAGCAGAAAGATGAAGGTGAATCCAGGCTGCCACATCAGGTCGATGCTGATGTCTCTGGAGCTAGGATGGAGTTGGAAACCCATCTACAATCCCACTCTGCCAGCCCCCATATTCACTTCACTTATCAATGACAGATAAATTGTCATCATATCGATACGAGGTGAAGAAGAATTAGAAGAAGGGTTATGGTTTTTCGTCGTGTAAATGAAATCTTTACTGCCATGTGAATGAATGTATACCACGAATCAAATACATTTAGAGATTTTAGTCCATTGTTAGAGGATTCAAAGGGAGCAGAAAGGTTTTGCGTTTTGTTTGCATACAGGCAGAGAGGAGTGCTGTTGTCGAGTGGACAGTAGTGCTCTTTCTGTGATTGACTATACCATCTCATACTTTTTTACCTTACATTAATGGAAACTGATCCATTGTTTTCTTTTACTTCCTTGTGATCCTGTAACCACATTCATTCCTTACTCATAGCTGCAGGGAGGGATGTTGCAAGGAGGGTTCTCCAGGAGGTGAGATTCTTTCCTTTTTTTCTCCTGATTAAGGAGTTGAATAACAATTCATTATCCCGCGCCATAGATTATGGCATGATTTGTGACCATCAGTTCACGTCGTGAGTATTCTGCCAGTTCCCATCGCGATCTCTGCTTCTTTCGGCAGGAGGTAACGCGTGTGCGATCCATGGAAATTGCTGCAACCTAGACCCTGCTTTGCTTACAGCTGAGTACCTAGAGCAATTGACTTGATGCTGGCTGTGCAGTTCCACAAACATTGTGTTCGACTCCCACGTGTGGCAACGATTCGGCTGAGTTCTCTTCTCTTCCTGGGATACTGCAAGACTCTACCGAGGAGGTTGTTTCCGACATGCAAGTAGGACTCTGGAGCAGCACGTCGAACCCTGCAAGTCTCTACTGTATGTTTACCCTTTCATCGCCATTCACTCCTGCCTCGATTGTACCTTTGATTCTCTTGAGGGATTACTCTCGTCGTTTGAACTATTCAGGGGTCGTTTGCTTCAAGGATTGTAAAATGAGGGTTTTCACTTAAACGTGGGATTTAAAAATCTAAGGTTTTATTTGGGATTTGGGGCATTTTGGATTTGGAAAAATCCTTTGTTTGTTTCTTCATTTTGATCATGGATTTAATAATTTGGGATTTAGAAATAAAGAATTTCATTTACCTTATTGCCCTTTACTCCATTAACGACCTTCACTTCCTTTCACACTTTCCTCTTCCAAGAAATGCTCCAATAGAGATTCCTTTCCGCTCCCTCCACCAAATCTCCATTTCCCTCCCGAATCCAAGCTCTGCCGCAGAAATGCCGCTCTCATTTCTGCTCCCACTCCTCTTCTCGCTGCTATTCGACGGCGGCGGCGCCTCCGGTTCCTCCACCGGCGCCTCGCTATCCGACTGGAGCGCCGCTCGGGCGACGTACTACCTCGCATCCGACCCGCGGGACAACGTCGGCGGGGCCTGCGGCTACGGCGACCTGGTCCGGGGCGGATACGGGATGGCCACCGTCGGGCTCAGCGAGTCGCTGTTCGAGCACGGCCAGATCTGCGGCGCATGCTTCGAGCTTCGTTGCGTCGACGACCTCCGCTGGTGCATACAGGGGACTTCGATTATCCTCGCGGTGACGAATTTCTGCCCTCCCAATTACGGGTTTCCTTCCGACGGCGGGGGACACTGTAACCCTCCCAACAAGCACTTCGTTCTCCCCATCGAAGCTTTCGACTTTCGAGAAGATCGCCATCTGGAAGGTCGGCAACATGCCTGTTCAGTACCGGAGGCAACATGCGGCAGATATGTTGGATGTGAAGAGGGCAATTTTGGTTTAATAAAAAAGAATGAGGATAGAAGTGTCATTTGGCCTCTTGGTTTTTCAGCCCATCACCAATTCCCTAATAATCATGTGGGATTTGTAAAGCTGTGGGCCCCACGGATTTGGAGTGAAAAAAAATCTAAATCTGTGGGGCCCACGGATTTGTTTCAACATTTTTGGACCAAGCAAACAAAGGATTGTACTTAAATCCTTAATAGTTGGTTTTTTGGTACCAAATCCATGATGCAAATCCTTGAAGCAAACGACCCCTCAATTCAACCTGCCAAAGATGCCTGCCTCCCTTCGTGTACTGTACATTAATAGAGATCACATAATGAATTGAATGAAGTTATAGAACATAGTTTAGTTCTTATTATTATTACTAGAAAATTGGCCCGCGCTCTGCGGCGGGTTATCGAAAATAAGTCGATCGATTAATATTAAAAAGTATATTGGTGTACTTAGAATCGTAATCAACTTTTCAATCTCTTTAGACTTCCTTGGAGATGATCTTGAGTTAAATAACTAAACTTATATTTATACAACATGAACTTAGATTGAATAGTTGACTATATAATAGTAGAGTTGATATTTTCTAAATAATAATAATAATTTTTTTTTGGGTAGAATCTAAATAATTATTGATGAGACCATATTGTACTTGGATATATTTATGTTTATAAATAAGTGGTGTTTGAACCTTATACACTTACAAAATGTAAGAAAATATAATCTTTACCCTTAAGTTTGCCCCATGACTATTTGATGTTTGTTTTTTGGCCTTTTTCAAAAGCTGCCATATATTATCTGATAATTAATAATTCTAGTAGCTTCAATATGAATAGGATACCAGAATGATGTTAATTATTTGTTAATATTTTTTGGGTAGAATCTTTGTCAATATTTAATAAACATGTTTGATCACTAACCTCAGCTAAATACATATTAGGTTTTGTAGTGGTTAGAGAATTAATTAGAGTATACATTAACCTAGCTAATGTGATGATCATTTCATATTCTTCAAAGCTATATTGTGAATTATGCATATACACATTCATAGTTTTTCTCAACTCTCTCTTATCAACTTATTGCTCTTTGTTAGTGTGCATACAACCAAGTGTCATTCTCTAATTGTTGGTGTGCATACATTTGTAACTCATGCACATATGAAAGGAATCAGTGGGCAACAGCTGGAGCTCCGGGCAAAGAAAGAATTAAAAAAAAAGCTAATGTTAATGTGCGAATAATCTAAAGTAAGTGATGAAAATGGATTGGATGGGCATTCCACATTCGACCATCCCAGTACTAATTGCTCATAGCCTTCCTCTGAACCCCAAACCGCCAACCGGTGCTCCCTAAAATTTTAAGGTGGGAACTTGATGCTTCAAGTATGAGCTTATCGAGGAGTTGATGGTTCATAGGAGTTGCAGCGGGTTGAGGTACTATTCGCTTTGATTTTATAGGAGTGAGGATTATAGGTGGAGGAATAATTTTGCTTCAACTGACATGGCCATCGGCAACACACCTGGGATCAGGAAGGGAAACAAAAACTTGCTATATATACGATTTGGGGAGAAGGGGAAGGATAGAAGACCAGTGGAGCTGCAAGAAGACACCCCAAGGAACTTCTCGGTCGGCTTTTGCTTCTCAACCCGCTCTACTTCTCACGGATTAAGAAAGGGAAACATCACTGCTATTTGTCCATCCGCCAATTAGAAGATGGGAGGAGGAGTAAATCCGGCAATCCAACCAGCCTTCTAGGAATCGTCGGACGGGAGGTAGGGGAAAGACGCGGGTGCATAAAACTTACTGCGTAATCTGTCCGTATCCGTTCTTCGCCGGCTAGCTCTCTTGCCCAATCGCCAGGGGATCGACGGAGGGGCTCACCGACCTGGTAGTGGAGCCGCCCGTATCTGCCGCGATGGAGATGATGGGATTATCCGGCAATTCAACTTGGCCAATCGCCAATCGATCGTCCAAGGGAAGAAACGGAGTTTAAGGATAGTGATTAATGAACGGGCCGGGTGCACAATAGTTGCGGTGTGTTTGCGAGCAGGGTAGTAAACCCCTTAAGTATACTCGCGGCTTTATTATACTAATAATAATAATTCTTTTTTCTTCCTTTTTCATTTAAAATGATTTGAGAAATTCCAAAATTTGTTCTGGTAGCGATTATTGGTTAGATTGATTGTTACTAGTAGTCGATTGCTGTTCAATCTGGAATTGGATAGATGAGGATTATTGTCAATAGAATGTGGAAGTTTAGTATCGAGACAACTTGTAACTCGAGAAATTACAGAAAATTGATTGGAGACGAGAAAATTATATTTCATTATCTTTCATAGAGAAAGGAGAGAAATAAACCATGCTCAATATGTAAATTTCATGTACCAAACTCAAGGGTTTGGTATGATGAAAATCAATATTTCATGAAAATGTCAATACAAAAGTACGGATTTCCATGGGACCAAGCTCGACAACCTGAATTAACGCATCAACGGCGCCACCTCTAACCGGTGCCGTTTCATCCACACCGTCTCCTTCAACCTTCCAACTCAACCTCTTCATTCCAGACTTCTCCTGGTTTGCTGATAAACTCATTTCTTTCACTTCCTTTATCTGCCAACAAAATTTTGTTCATCACACATACAAACAAACAATTATTAACCCCAAAATCTTGGTGGGTTGATTTGAATCTGATCCACACGCGGTACCTCTTTCCCGGTAAACATCTTCTTCAGTTCAACTTTGGCCACTGTCGAATATGCAGCATCCTCTCCAACCTGAAAACCGCAACAAGAATTAAGACTGCAATTCAAGTTGAAAGAGGGCAGCTTCTTTTTCTTAATTCAGTTGGTTCACCTCATAAAGATGAGCTAAGCGGAGCAGCACAGTTTGATCATCCAGCTCCTGCAAGAGTTCCCACCATCAGATATCATCAGACACTTCGAGTTAATTAATACGCGATGATCGTGTCGAATGAGGTTACCTCTAGGGTGATCAAAGCAACATTGAGTGGCAGGCTATATCCTGTCTCCATCATAGTTCCTGACGTCGAATGAGAGGCTTTCCATGTCTTCTCATCCTGTAAAGCGCATTGACATTACTTGTTTCCTTCTGTTGACTGGAAAAAATGGAGGCAAGCAATGATGCAAATGAACTCTCTCTATACCTCGTGCGTGAAGGCTAGAAGCAGCGGTGAATATATCTCTTGCCCAGTTGTTCTTCGCCAGGTTGCTCCACCACCTAACTTGTTGATGTTCACATAGTAGTTTCCACGAACCTATGAAGCAAAAGAGCAGAGAATGTGACTGTATTAACAACAATGGAAAAGTACCAGATTATTGATTCAGGAGCTGCGAAGTGCTGTTTTTACATACAGTCAGTCCTTGGCAAGATTCTCCAACGCAGACTTGTTCGTCGAGGGGCTCGCCAACACCTCTGCCATCATCTTGTAGAATTCGCCTTCAATCCAACAAAAATATGTGATGCAGCAGTGAGTTTCCATCTCTAGTAGTAATAGCTAGTGTGGAACGCATGTATAACAAATTATGAGGCGGGGACCTGTGCAGCATGAGTTCTATTTCACCATCGTTGATGCTGGCTCCCCCGGTGGCACGATCAACCAGGACAGACAATTCGGATTTCGAGTCAGTGATGAATGTTCCCAGGTTAAGCTGGATACACAAGATTCGGAACATCAATCAATTCATGAATGTACAAGAAGTAATGAACTAGTTCTGATCATGATTTAAAAGAAGGAAGTAGTATTACTGGATAATAGTTTCCAGCAATAGGTTGGTTGACAGACAGGTTCCAGTCATTTCTCTGATCATATACCTGCATGCAGTTACCTCTTTAATACGAACACAAATCGAGGGTCGATGGGAATTAATTAAGGGATAAATTTCTGATGTTGTAGATAATTACCCTCTTCAGGAAGTCTCTTCCATTAGAGTCGGTATAGGATGTTTTATTTGTCACCATGTTTGTTGTCATCTTTGTGATAACTTCTTTTCCTATGTTGTCATCAGTTGGGATTGGGCCAATCTTCAGAAGAAACAACAGACATTTAGTTCAGCTCAGTTAATCCAGGCAGAGAAAACTATTCAGTGAAAATTATACATTGCAGATGTTTAAGGAACAACTCCATTGACTGTAGTCTGTACAAAATGAGGTATGCAGTAGCAAGCTTACAGTGTATTCAATTTCTGCATGTTGTTTGTCTTTGTAAAGTCTTGTAACCTGAGAGGAATGACACCAGTGTGGTCAAATCACAATTTTTACTTGGATTGGAGGCTATCATATGCGCTTTGAGGTTTTTCCAAGTCATGGCGAAATTCAGAACCTGGTAGATCCATGGACTGAATTGCTGGTGAACTTCATGAACTAGTGGTCCGCGAAAGACATCGAGATGGACCTGCAGATTCGAGATCGAGTATTGACTGAACTTGATTTGTGCAGCAGAGTAGGAAAAGGGATTCATATTGTTTCTTTGATCTATCGAACTTACTGATTGTGCAACAATGGTAGGTGTATTAGAGTCGGGCCGGAAAATGTAGGCACCGGAACTTTGCTGCATGAATAAAAAAGTTACTGCAATGTCAGAAAACATGATGCTGGAGTAGAATGATTGAATGGAATCAAAGTGAGAAGCGAATTTGATATACCTGGCTGTCAGTACTTGATGCATACCAAAGATAGCTTTGCTGTATCGGTGTATCCACCTGAAAAAAATATGTTAATTGTTTTTGGATCTCCGTTAGAATCTGAATATCACATCTAGTGAATGTAAGCCACCTACTTACCCCTGTTACTTTGTTAAACATCCGAGTGAGCTGGCCGGAAGCTGAAGAAAACAACATCTTGAGATTTCCAGGTCCAATTTCAACCACTTCATCAACAGCAGTGTCCTTCAAAGAGTTATTGTCACTGTGTGTCCTTTCTGCTGCATGAGAGTATAGACAGAGAGACAAATTAAGAGGCAAAAAAATAAAAAAGCTAGTATAGCAAGTAACTAGCCAGGCAATGGTAACAAGGTGTGATATTTTTATTACCAGTCTTGGGTTCCTTGGAGATGAAGTAAGTTGCCCAACCAAGAGGAGGCACGGTTACTTGGAAGACAAGCCAGTTCTGAGGAATTTGGTTGGATGACTGCCCTGTGTATGCCTTGAGGTAAAAATTTCTCAATTCGCTAGTGACTTTGTCCACGGGTACGAATTGTGATTCAATGGCTTTCCCAGAGGAATCAGTCACAACAAGGGAAGAATCATTGACCTGTAGAAGTAATCATGGAAACCTTATGATATCCAGTTGATGTCTAGGTCTTTGTTTGCCAACTTAGATGAAACCACTCCCTTCTTGACTTACCGGAATTCTAATTATATCGGTACGATTCCATCCAAGGGGGTTATATACAACAACCACCTAAAACTCAAAGGAAGATATATGTATAAGATACAGGATACCAAATGCAGGACACTGTAGGGAAAGCTGAACCTATAAATCTGAACTTACTAGTGGCTTCGAGCTTCCCGCTTCAGTTGATGGACAATAACTGATATTCAACAATTGACACTGAGGAAAAAAATAACGATTCTATCAAAGAACGGTTCGAGGAGGAAGCAACCTGGAGCACAAAAAATGTGCTAGAACGACTGCAGACCTTAAAAGGGAGGAACACAACGAAGGAAAGATTACCTGGCTGAATGTCGTATCTTGGGAGCCTCCACATTGACCTTTGATTTTGTTACTGACTAAGCATGAAAATGCAGAACTAACAGTGGCCTCTGCCTGCAAAATATAGCGTGAGTTGAGAACATAACACACCATAGAATCTTGATGTGAATGATGCAAGTCATGAAACAGGAGTTTGATAGATTCAAAAGACATATGCTTGTAAATTTTGTATAACAGCTAGAGAACGAACCTCAGTGGCACCGATAGCCAGACGTTTGGCATAGTCATTAGTAGTGTGTTGTTTGGCAGTGCCAGACACAGCATCATGATGCTGAGCTACCCCTAAAGCATCTCCAAGCTTGGAAGTGTTGGGAAGAGTTTTGTTTTTCCCAGCCAAGAACTCAACTTGTCTTGCAGCCTGGTTCATGGAAGAAGCACCAAAAGAAAAAGAAAAATTTGTCAGGTTACTGCATCAAAAGAGATAATTGTAAGGGTTTTGCATGAAATAAGTCTCAATACCAAGTAGTATCCACTGAGCTGCCGCACAAATCTCTTGAATCCAGGGCGGCTGGTAAAGTAGCCAGTCCAATAGGCATTGTCTCCATCAGCATATCTGCCCCACAATCAGCTCCAAATCAAATTTGTTCAAAAATGGTTCTACCAGGAGAATTAAGAATCTAGTTTCCAGAATTAGTTAGATGTGCTCAGCGCTTGCTGTGCTTACGGGAAATAATCATCGGTTTTCAGCGGCCAGGACCCATTTGCTGCATTTTTCGCATCGGTGTAGATAGATGGCGTGGAGTACAAGGCATTGATTTCTCCATCCTGATAAACACGTTCCATAAAAGACAGCTCATGAAGGAACTGGTAGATGTGGAAGAAATGTTTCTAAGGGTTGTCTTGTTTTTGTCTCTCTCTCTACCTTGTTGACATATTTAATGAACTTGTCCATTTGCCTGAACCATGACTCAGCAAATTGGTACTGGAAATCATCTCCCATTGTCCACATTATGTGGTTTGTCCTTGTCACATTGGCCTGCAATGGTAGATGCCAATTCATTTTTTTCTGAACTAAACAACACCTTTGTTCTCTTCTTCCAGCCAATTTGATCCTAACTGAATATAGACAAAACGACATGCATAAGAAATATACTAGAGTTCCCTTACCTGTGCTTTGGCTGCATCCACAAAGTCCTTAACGTTGATCGACGTTATAGTCGAAAATAAGAGGATCATCCTGCAATTAAATCATCCAAAATAAAACTAAAATGAGCAAGCAGAATTAGTTAAATGGTGGATGTTAATTTGGAGAGTGCCTTGGAGAAGAAGCAATTAATAACCTGGATAGGAATGTCTTCATCACCAACTTCAAAATGGAAACCTTGAGGTGGGGCATAATGGACTGGGAATGCATTGGCAAATATCTGCAACAAAGGGCAGGTAGTAAACAACAAAGAAAAAAAAACAACTGTTCTTGATTTACTATGTCTAAAACGAAACAAGGTCGAATGCTCGATAGAACCTGCGACGAGGAACCAAAGGTATTAGAGCCACGCCATATGACTTCCAGAGACTTGTCACCTTTCCTCTTCACTCTATCTTGGTAATCGATCCTCGCGAAATGTACAGAATCAATCCAACCTGCCATAACAAAATGCCGGTCAGACAAAACGTCGTATAAGAACCAGTCTAAGATCTAAGGTGGCAACAAATAATAATAGAGTGAAGTACCTCCGCTCCAAGGAGATAGGCCTGGACCGCAGAGTGACCAAAAGGATCGATCTGCCAACCGGCTCGAGGCGTGCTGTTGAACTCGGCCTTGATCATCCGATGCCCGAGGGTTGTTTGATCAATCATGTCTATGTAATGCGTTGCAGCTTCATCGTGCATGCACCAACCACCATTTCTGCTCGCAACCCCACAGTTACATAGACCGATCAGCTTAAGTAAACATCAAATTCTTAAACTCAGCTGCACAGCCTGTAATACATACACGAATTCTAGTTGCCCGGATTTCACTAGTTTCCTCACTATGTCTTGTGTCGTCATGGTCTGCTCGCGCCACCAACGATTGAAGAAGGCCTGAACACAACAACATTGCAAAAATTCAGGGAAAAAACATGAACACAGACAAACATTTAATCAAACACTTGTTCGTGTTCTTGTTCTTGGTCCTTTTTTTCTTTTTCATTTCCTCTCTAGGTACCATTTCAGCGAACACAAACTTCCTGCTGGGATCCTTGAGCAGAGCAGCAACGACAGAATCCAGCACATTCTGAACGCTGGCATTCTGATCCAGGAAAAAAGGATTAATCAGAACGAGTCCACAACTCCAAATATTAGTAGTTCAATGGGAGACGAATCAAGAGAAGGGTGGGAAGACCTGAATTGTGTTATTTGCGCCCACATAGTACTGATCAATGGTCTTCAACCACCCAACGTCGTCGTGCGAATGAGGAACCAGATGAACGTTAAGTTTCCCTTCCACAATTCCTCCTCCTCCACCATTAGCTACTACTGTTTCAGACAGAATACAGGCAGCAGCCAGAAGAAGAAAAACAGAGAGAAAGACCCATGTCAAGCTCAACCTCCCCTGTTTTCTCATCGCATAGATTAAGACTTTCAGACAAATTTCGAGAAGACTTGGCTGGCAGGTTGTGAATTGCAAAGTCTGCTCCTTTATATAGGTTGCCAAGGCAGCGGGTAAAGTTGGGGAATGGAATTTGGAAAAGTGAGTGAGAGTTGGCCGTCATCTTCTTGGGTATCTTCGTCGGGTCGTCGCCATTCATTTTAATCGTGGGGTTTTCATCACTGGCCTTCCTCCTGTCCACATGATTTAGTCCGTCAGTGATAACAACTGGATTCAAATGTGACAAGAAAGTAACAGCTAATTAGAATTCAATATCGGTTTCTGTCTGTGGATGGGTATGCTTTTTCTAAGTTGGGTTAACATGCTTGCACGTGGTGGTGCCTTGGGGTGTTTTGCTCTGTGTGTAACTGTTTGTGCAATGTGCTTTCTGAGTATGGCGGCCATTGTTGCTGTGGATCAGTTGATTCCCCACTGCGCTTTTCTCTCTATTTAGTGGATTGCTTTCTTTTGTTTTTTCTATTGTACTAGCGTGGGCCCGGCCATTTGGCCGGAGGAAGGTAAGGTGTGAAATTTGATAATGTAATGAGGTATATAATTTATTGTTGTATTTTTTTTTTGGGAAATACGTGATAAAATAGTGAATTTTAGTAGGAAAGCGACATGAATTATGTAACGAATCAAAAATTAGTCTTATGAACCATAAAATCGAATAAAAAATCACCTATCCCGCCGATTTTCGGGAAATGAGCATCTCACAATCGTTGCTAGCTTTTACTCGTCCCGTTGGCCGATTAATTTGCTTCATAACGGGCCAAAACTTGAAATTCAGCATGTTTGACCGACCCATGCCAAACTCTAAGAATTATGTACTTTTAAACTTTCTGTTTGAAAATAAAAAATAACGAAAGAAAAGAGATGACTGCAATTCGCCATTTGCACATCACTGATTCGGGGAATAAAACTATAGAATTTCGAAAGAAAACTGAAAATGTGTAGGATCGTTTTAATGTTAAAAATAACCAAATAGATCTTTCTGTTTAGTTTTTTACTAACAAATACCAAACGATTCCCTATAATATACACTATAATTTACTCATTATGATATCAAATAATTACATAATATATATTTAAAATGATAAAAATTGGACTAATTGGGTTGGTCGAGGTTGAATCATTGAATAACTTTAAAATACATTATATTTTAGCCACTAAGATATAAAATAATAGCATAATATATATTATGCTAGAGAAAATAGCTTGTTTTAGAATGACAAACCCATGATGTTCATTTGTTTTACTTGATGGGCAAATCCCGTGTAGGTCAGGCCCATTCAACTCTTTTATTTTATGATTAGCGGTTAGCCCATTAGAATCCATGCATTAGTTTATTGTTAATTTTTTTCTTTTTAGCAATAAAAAGGTGTATTGTTTTTGCCTTTTCATATATATTTTACCAGGGTGAATTGCAAGTTTGGTCACTCATATTACCTATTTGTAACATGTTAGCCATTCGAATTACTTTCGCTTCAATTTAGCCACTAATATTACATGTTTATTTCATCTTTAGTCACTCGCCGTCTAGTTCCGTTAAATATGTCCTACGTGGCGGTCAACAGTTACATTTGACTGTTAAAATGGTGATGTGGAATTAAAAAATAAAAAATAATTATTTAAGAATTCCAACTAACAGAAAGAGAAAGGGAGAGAAAGAAACCAACGAAGCAATTCATTCTCTCTTTCTTTTTCAATTTTTCCCCCTTTTCTTCAACTATGCTTCTTCTTCCACGATGAACCAAGACAACTATGGCAGCAGCGCGGATCGATGACGGCGTAGGAAGGTAGAGATTGACGAAAGATCTGGGCGAAGACCGACACTGGGCGACGATTTGACGAAGATCCGACGATCTGGGCAAAGACCAACGATGGGCGACGATATGGTGAAGATCCGTAGAGCTGGGCGGAGACCGGAGCTGGGCAACGATCCGACGAGATCCGAGGATCTGGGCGAAGATAGTGTCGGCGTTGATGGAAGAGATCAGGCGGCATAGGTAAATTCATGCTGTGGCGGTTCTGGTTTGAGCTTTTGGAATGGTGATATGCGAATCAGTTGGGATTTTGTTTATGCTTTCTTATCTTGATTTGATATGATGTTTGGGGATGTGGGTTTTGTACAAGAAGGTGAGGAGCCGAACAACAGAGGGGTTGGCAAGGCAGGGGATTCAGTCTCTAGAGGCTGCAGAGGCGGCAGATGAGGCAGGGGATTCAGCCGGCGTAACGCCTCCTTCGACTTGACTCTTGTGGGAATAGATACGGCGGCTAAGGAAAGGGATTCAACCCGGCGACAACGACGCCTTGGGTTAGCTCTCGGTTGTTCCCAATCTGTGGCCAAATCACCCCGGAGATTTGGTTTACGCTCAGGCGTGCAACTCCTCCGGGAATCGATCCTTCCAGAATCCAGATTACGTTAGAGTGGGAACAGAGGAGGGGAGATGATGGTGAACAATGGCAACGACGAAGGTGGCGGCGGCGGCTGTTGCGGCTGATGTTAGGGCACCGGATCGCCTGGGGGAGAAGGGTTGTACGAGGGGGGAGAGAGAAGATACAAGTTTTTTTTCACAAAATAAATTTGTTTTAATTTTGATGAAAAAATATATTTATTAAATTTTAGTATGACATGGAAATAAAATAATTATTTTTTATTTAATTTTTAGGGCCATGTCACCACTTTAACAGTCAAATGTAACCGTTGACCGCCACGTAGGACAAATTTAACGGAATTAGACGGTGAGTGACTGAAGATGACATAAATATGTAATATTAGTGGCTAAATTGAAGCGAAAGTGATTCGGGTGGCTAACCTGTTACAAATAGATAATATGAGTGACCAAACTTGCAATTCACCCTATTTTACCACCACGGAGAAATAAAAGGACTTAAAGAAAAAAATTGACACTCCTGGACCCGTTTAAATCTGCATGTGTACGGTAAGTTGGCCCGTTCCACAGAGGAAAAAGAAAAAAATTGACACTCTCTATTCTACCCTTCCTACAAACGCTCCTGGAGCAGAGAATTTGAAATGGGGGAAGGGTTGTTTCCTCTATGCGATTATATATTTTTAGTTTAAAACGATACAACAAATGTACTTAGTGTGATTGGTTATGATCTTTGCTTTTCTTTAAAGTGGTCATGGTTCAAATCCTAGTAAGTGTCTTTTTAATGAATAAAAAAAAGTAATTGTGAAGACCAAAATGTCCTTCCTACTTTCACTCTGGATGCAGGAAATTTGAAATGGGGCTTCAAGTTTTCTCATTTGGCTTTTATTTATTGTGTAGATGTGGGTTATTAGTTGTTTCACTGTTAGCTTTGTTCCTCTTCCCCTTTGTTTTAATGGAAAAAGGCAGTTAGGTTAACATAACACTGACCATCTGATCCTATGAAACGTCCCCGCCACTTGCCCTTATCTGCTTCAGATACAGCGATTGCAAAAGCTTCGACCTTTTGATTATTGAACCCGGGAGTCGAATGCTTCGTTCTAATTCTTTTCATTGGGGCGGGTGGATTCTTAGAGCCGGTTGTCCAGTTCGTTCGGTTCTGACAGTTAACTGCTCAACCCGTTAATTGACTACCCGACTGTCAACATATGAATGAATAGCTTATCCGAATTGGTCTTGTGATTGGGTTTTGGTTGTACCGGTCGGATCGATTCGGTTTGGTTATAACATATGTGGAAAAACCGAAAAAGGCACTTGCGTGTCGATAAGACTAATCTAGCTATAGCATAAAGCGTGAGAAAGCATTGTTCGAACTTAGCCTCAAGAGTGATGATTGCACAATGACGGTAAATCTTTTTTCAAAAATGCATATAACATATTAGTGTAAAAATTTCATTTATAAACAGTCATGTTAAAAATGTATTTGAGAAATTGAAAAAGGGCAGAGTAGGGAACAATAAGAAATATGCATTCAAATCCACCAGACAGGCGTCAGCATCCACCCGGTCGGTTCAACCGGTACAATCATCAAACCGACTAGAAAGATGTTGATTTTCAGTATTCGTCAAATTCGGCCAAAATAAGGAAAACCGATCATTTAGAGCATAAATCGAATTTCAATATTTTGTACACACATCTTCCGGAAAAAAAAATACTCGTTGTGAAATTTGAACTAAGTACTCATGTTCACTAGTTTCAATCATACATCAATAGATTACAAGAAACTGTGTTACTCGAAAAATATTTTTTAAGGAATCGTTTTATGTATTGAATTAACTCGCTTCTTCCTAACTATGTGTCAGAAACACAATTATATATGGTTTTTATTATTATATTAGGTAGGATAATTATTATTATGGTTAGTAGAGATTTAGTCCAATTAGGTTATTCGTTAGGGTTTTCCAGTATTTCCTATATATATGTACTTTGGGTTTACGTCATAATCAATCAAGAAGAATATTAAGCAAATTCTCCTAAACCCTAGTTTATCCTCTCAACTCCTAATTTCTCATCTCATCCTAGTCCAAGGCCTCGGCCGATTCCCAATTCTATTCTATTCTTTCTCATCTAAATACCTAATTCTTTCTCTCAAACCCTAAATCCCTAATTGTCACGAGTGCCGAAGATCAGTATCGAGAATCCCTAGAAGCGTGGTTCTCACAGTGGTATCAAAGCCCGGTTGTGGCACTCGTACCAGAGCTCCGGTTGCGAATATGAGTTTATCACAACTCTCAACCGGGGATGAGCGCATCTATGAAGACTTCGAGCCAAACATCTGCAAACAGGAATATCCGCATCGCATCAAGCTATTCTTTTCCTTGCCTGGGTTCGAAGCTAAGCACCTAGATGTACAAAGAATTGAATCAAATGTGCTAACAATTACAGCAGAGCGTTCGTTGGGTTACGAACGCAGATGGATCCGTTTCGGAAAACAAATCGAATTCGGAGAAATCTACAATGTCTCACAATGTCGCGCTAGCTTCAGAGAAGGCAGTTTCACCATCAAGGTTCCGAAAATCATCATCTCGCAGGATGCGCGGAAATCGTTGATTGAGGAAGAAGAAGTCACCGCAGAGGCTTCA